ATTTTCGCTTGAAAAATTTAAAAAATTGATATACATAATTTGAGCTGAAAAAATTTTTATTATTAGGGTTTTTAATCACAAAATTTAATGACTGAAAAAAGAAGAAATATCAATTTTTAAATTTGACTAAAATTTTATTGACCGCTTTGCCCAATTTTGGGAAAAAATTGAAAAATAAGAGAAACAAAACCCTGAAAGTACAAAAAGTAAGTTTTAATAAAAGAAATACAAAATATAAAAAATCAATAACATCTAATCAGCCCCATATAAAATATCTGACGCGCATCACGAATGCTTTTGAAAAAATATAAAACTAAATTTTCAAAATTATACCCAATTGTTTTTTCAGTATTCTTTAATTTCTTTTTAAATTAAAAAACTTTTTGGGGAAATCTCCGGGAAAATTGTGGAATATCATTGTTTTTTTATTGAAAATACTTTTTCAAAAATTTCTAATAAAAAATTGGAATTCTTTTTTGCAGAATGTGCTTTTTGCGTTCTTTTGGTACACTGGCAGGTTTTGGGCCCATCTGCCTGTTTAAAATACAAATCTATGCAAAGGAGCTCCCCAAGTTTTTTGAATACTATAAAAAAATTTCCCCCTTTAAACCTATACTTTTTTTAAAATTTTTTGCTGTTTTTAAAATTTTGTGAATCTTTCCTTTTTAAAATAGCTTTAGTTTAAATTTCTTTTATTTTAACCGGGCCCAATGAAAAAATTTGATTTTAAATTCTTTTTTAAAAAACTAAGAAATACATTTTTTTTTTCCCGACATTTTGAAAAAAAACATGCATCTTTAAAGGGAAAAGTTAATTTAAAAATCTTTTACCAAGGGAAACCCAGTTTTTCTTATTGGGAAAATTTTGGTCAAAATTCATTTTTAACATTAGTTTAAATTTTTTATATTTTTTAAAAACACTTTTATTTTTACACTCAATGTTGTTATTTTTTTTAAAAAATTGTCTCTTTCAACCTATGCTAATAATTGAAGAAACCTTTTTTAAGGGTTGCTTTATTCAAAATTTATTTTTATAAATTTGTTTAAAGGGAACGAAAATTTGAAATGAAAAAATTCCAAAAACCCCAGCCCAAAACCTTTCCTTTTATAAAAAAATTATATACAAAATTAAATTAGGGAAAAACATTATGATTCTATTTTTCCTTTTGTTATTTAGTTTTGGGGTTTTTTTAAAAATTTGGGCGTATAAATTTTGTAAAAATATCTTTTCCCTCGGACATGTTTGACGATAAGTTTTTTCGCATTTTTTATGTGAATCTCGTGAAGAAAAAATAAAAAAAATAAAAGGGGTGTCTTTACAAAAACCCCGTTAAAAACTCTTGGCCCAAAATTATAAGTGTTCAATTTTCTTTAAAAGAAATTAAAAAAGCCGCCCCTGATAAATTTCAAATTTTCATTTTAAAAAAAGTAAATTTTAAAAAAACCTTTTTTGAAAAATATAAGCGCACAAGATATTTTATATCCAAAAAATATCCCAAAAAACAACGCGTTTAAATACACAAAAAAAAAATAAAATTTTTGTTTCTCTTGAAATTTTTAAACAAATTTTCTATCATTTCCCAAAACAAAAAATTTATGAACATTGGTTTAAATGTAGAAGATATTGAAAATATTTTCCCTGTCAAAATTTTCTGTTTTTCAATTTCTTAACCTGGAAAAAACCCTCAAACAAAATTAAATTTTAAATTTTGATTAAAAAAAAAAACGTAAATTATTGTCAAAAAATTTTTCAATATTTAAATGTTTTGTTAAGCCCAATTTAATTTAAAATTTATTGTTTTTAAAACAAACCATAAATAAAAACCGAAAATTATTTTAGGGTTTCCCTTTAATTTCTCTTGTGGTTGTTTTTAAATCATTTTGATTTTTCCCTTTTTTTATTAAAACTTATTTATTTTTTAAAAAGGTTTCCCAGTATTTAAAAGGCTCTTTGGGGGTTTAAAAAAAGTAAATTGATTTTCGGGGGGACTGTTTATTTATTTTTTACCGTGAACGAAATGCTACGAAACATAATTTTTACTAAAATTTTTTTGAATTTATCATTTTTAAACTACATGAAAAGGCACATAAATTTATGTTCAATTATAAAAACAATTTCTGATTGGCCCTTGCTGCTATTTATTTTAAGTTTAACATTAAAAAATTACAAACCTGCTAATTTTAAATCCTAAAAAAATATACGTCAAGAACAATTAAATGATATTTTCCATGGTAATTACTTTCCGCGATACTTTTATTATTTTTTTTGGTGATATTTTTTTACATGTTTTCTCCTTTTAATATATAATACATATCCTTTTTAAAATATCATTTAAAACTCTTGATTTTTTTTTAGTTTTTTAATTCAGGTTTTTTTTGTATATATTTAGAAGCCTTTAAGAAACAATCTTTAAGTCTACTTTATATTCGGTATCATTTATTTTTACGAGGAAAACATTTGAAATATTAGAAATATTAACATTTACATCGTAAAAGGACATGAATGGATGTTTGTTTATGGAATAGTTTCAACAAAGCAACTAGTAGCTTTATCGCCGTTAACACCAATTATAAATTGCTTGGAATCTGTAAGTTTTTAAAAAATGAAGACAAATTTGGGGTATGTGACAAATGTATTGTAATGCCTAGAATATTCACAAGTTTGTCTATTTATCTTGCTAGTTCAGTATTAAATGTAAAAAAAAAAGTAAGTGAAATGCAGTGAACAGTTTTAATGTTTTATTTCATTGCTTACATTTGTAAAAAAAAAAAACTACAGAAAAAATATAATTTTAATAAAATCATAAAAAAGGGGCATTACCAAAGTGAACGTAAAAATAAAGAAATCCAAATAAAATTATTGAAAATCTATCCATCATTACAGCTAAGTCCTCGTATGTGTAAAGGACATTGTTCTATAATTGCCCTTTCATCTTTACTTTCTGATGGTGCCCTTCTCGGTTATGTCCTCCTTAGTTACTTCTTCAACAACAACTAAATGACTGTTATTCGCCGATTTTGATAATGATTCCTTTTTGTTTTGAAATAAATTTAAAATTTATTATGAAAATGCTTTTCAAAATTACATAATCTTATTTTGAAAGGACAAATTTTACTGTCCAAATTTTGGGCCTTTTCAGTTATCTCTTTTTACATTTTTTTTTCATATCTTTTTAATTTAAGGAAATGGGGTTTATGAGGGAATACGTATTTTTACAAATTTTTTTATAAATGTTTATATGTACATTTATGTTTGAAATTTACCTTAAAAAAAGAATTATAATTCACTAATATGCTACTCGTGTCTGAATTTTTTCCTACGTGTTAATAGATTCCTACGAGGAACCTTTTCCAATTAATCAAAAGTAATCCGTATATCTTTTATTTACTAAATTTAACTAAAAGAAAATCATACTTTAAAAATCCCTTTGCAAATTTTTAAATTTTTTCTTCCTGCAAACAAGAAAGGCTAAAAAAATTTTGCAATTTTTTTCATTTCCTTGAAAATTTTATTTTTTATTCCCTTTCTGTAATTTTTTTCGATGTAGAATATACACTGTCTTTAATAATTTTCTAAAACTGCAAAATGTTTGTTCCACCAAGGGCATATACAAAACCTAAAAATTTAAAAAAAAAGAAAATCGTACAAAAACCTAAAATTTTAAAATAAGATATTTTAAAAAACCTTAAGCTTTTCACGGGGAATACATGCACTATGCTGTTTTTTTACCTTATCAAAAAAAATCATTACAAAAAGGGAAGGTGGGGGAGGGGAATTTGGGTTTGCGACTCATTTTGGGAAAATTACTTTTTTCTACAGTTTACAAAAAAAAATTTTAAAATGCCAATATAGTTTAAGAATACTCTCTTTTTTTTTTTAAAAAAACTCATTAATTTAAATTTTTAGGAAATTTTCCTTTAAAATAAAAATTTTATATATGCTTGTTGGTGTTGGGGATTTTACCAGCCGAAGGCTTTTGCATTTAGAAAACCAAAAATGTTTTAAAGTTAGTGATAAGGACTTTGTCCAGGAAAAAAAAAAAGGGGAAATAAATAATATACTTTGCGTTTTTTATTTCCCAAAATAAAAATTTTTTTTGAAAAGAAATGTCCTTATCAGACTTTACATTTTGGTAAAATAAAAAATATTGTGTACATTTTTAAAGATCATTTGTTAAAAAAATCGTTTTTTTTTAAAATTTTTTCCCCGGGTCCATTTTCTCTCAGAATTTTGTCTTTTTAATTTAATAAACTCGTGGGCGGGGGAAAAGCCCAATTTGTGACGGCTTGGGTTTTCCCCCCCAAAGTTAATCAAGAGGGCATTCCGGGAATTTTAATACCTTATATACCCAAATTTCTTTTTTTGGGGATCTTCAGCTTTCCCCTGTTAGATTTTCCGTTAGGTTAAAAATATTATTCAATACCTACGTCCCCTTCTCCATAAAAAAAATTTTTTTCACTTTCTTATAAAAAAATAACCCTTTCTTTAATTAAAGGAGTAAGATTCTTTTAAAAATTTTGTCGGGCCATAAGATACTTTCATTTTTTTCAAATTTTGGTTTTGGGTCCAAACGAAAATTTATGTAAAAATTTTTACGATAAAATTCACAAAAATTTTTAATTTTTAATTGGGCAAAAAAAAAAAAGGCCCAAAAAAGACTCACATTTTGTGATTTATGGGGTCAAGATCAGCAACAGGCATTCAAGGCTATAATTAAAAAAATTAACCTCTGCACCTGTTCTTACTTATGCTAATTTTTCCCAGCCATTTATTGTCAATATAAACGCCAGTTTGGTCTTGGTTTAAAAGCTATCATAAAAGCTATATTTGACTGCTGTATATGAAACCAGAAGTCAGCAGTGAATTATAAATGAGCAACCAATAATTATAGAGTTCGCGAGGGGTTATTACTTCATACAAGTAACTGGAGTAGGTTTTGACAAATAAGTAAAACATGTATATACTGGTGAGCTTAAAAATCAAACAAAAACCAGACATACTCAAAGTCGGTATCTGTAATGACGTTGTCGGTATCTTTCTCCGCTACCAAGGTCATCATAACTGTCAATGACAACAACAACGTCAAAGCAAAAAGACAACTTCTCGCCGGAATCCGTCGGAACAGCAAAATACATAAGGCCCCAAGCACTGCATGAAAAACAACTGGAAACCGATATTAAAACAAGTAGTTAAGGAAAAATTTTTTGTCTTATTCTATACCGAAAAAAGATACTCCAGGGTGAAACTAAAATAAGGGTCAAAAATCTATTCTAGCGGGGAAAGTTTTTATGATTTCATTTTTCGGGCCCTTTTGGCCCCCAAAACGTTTTAATATCAATTACGTTTATAAACATTTTTTCAATTTGATTGTAAAATTTTTCGAGGAAAAATCCATGTTTTATATCTGAAAAAAAAGAATAAGTAAAAGATGAAATTTACCAGTACATTTGTTATTATTTTTAAAATTTTGTTATCTTTTTTGGGTTTTTTATTGGGAGGGGCATTTTTTAAAAAAAGTCATTTTAAAAATTCAAAAAAAGTTTCCCATGTCGTTCCTTTTTGGAAAATTTAAATTTTAAAAAGAGGATATTGAATGAGTGGTAAGCTCAATACTAAAGTTATTGCACGAGTTGAATAAAATTATATTATGCGAGCCTCTGGCGAGCATAATATTATTTGATTCAACGAGTGCAATAAATTCAGTAATGAACTTACACGAATTTAATATTCTATTTATCACATAACAAAAATAAAGACCGTTTAAAGTGAGATAAGAGTCATTTTTCATTGACGCGCTTATAGTATAACGCTAACATTTTGCGCGTCTTTATAACGCTAATGACGTCACGTCAAAATATATGTACGGCCGTGCAATACCATATTTACGGAGTCGCAAAATCGGCAGGGGTGTGTGATAAATGACGATATAGCAAGAGGCAACATTCTAGTATACTGTAAACTGAAAATCTTTTTAATGGATGTTTGAAAAATAAAATAATACTGGTATCATGATCAAATTCATACCTATAATAGGTTAATTGTTTACTTTTACCATCAATTTTGTAGCTGATTTTGGATAATAAAAGCTTTTAAACGAAGAAAAAAAGAAATGTTGTAGATTGTAAAAAAAAAGAGACTAGTATGAATGTTAAAAAAAAAAAATTTGAAATACCAGTTTACTGTTGTGTAGAAGGAAATTTGAGTGCCCACTGACAGGATGACAAAAAGTAAGCGGGTGCGACCCAAAAATAAAAACCACGGGGGTTTCCCCTCATTGGGATATTTTTTCTGGTTCCCGTCATGCCTATACTTCTTTTCCCAGTAACGAAAATTGAAAACGTAAAAGTGAAAATTTTAGAATGTATAAAGTTGAATATTTAACTATTATAAATAATACTGCTATTGAAAATCCTTAATTAACAAAAAATTTATAGTAATATCAATAATTTTAGAAAGTAATTAGAAAAGGATTTTACGATTGACAAATATTGAAAATCATGATGTTCATGGAAATGTCAATTTTATTAATTATTTAACTGGTTAATTTTATAAACTGTATGAGAAACTTCTTTACAAATATATACAATGCATAAAAATCGGATGCATGTTCAAATATGAATTCGATATATATAAGATAAAGTAACTCACGAGTTTTTCAGTGCAAGTGTAGGTCTCCATATCTGACCTGATTTGAAATAAACGTTAGACACGTTTCCATTCTGAGATATGTTCCATGAAAGGCGATGATCATTCCACATCTATAATATAATGACGTTTTTCATTCACATCATCGAGGGAAATTATTGTATATTGTACAAGAAGTCGTGCTTTTGGTGGCTGATTTGTGCCATTCGTCTTTTCACCCCGCGACATGGCCCCTTTGACTTCTTAATTTTCGAATTTTGGCTTGGCGGGGTCGCAGAGCGAAACACACTAATAAGCTGGACGGCGAGGTTATGTTTTGTCTATTAAACTTCGCTCCGCGCCCCTGCCATTTTAACTTGTTAGTTCTCGACTTTTCGCTTGGCGAGGCGAGAACACGCTAATTAGCGGGGTTGCAAGTCCAAGTTTTATTCATTATTAAAGATCCCCCCGCGTCCCGCTAATAAGCGTGTTTTTGTTTGGCGCCCCCATCGTTTTCTTTCTGAAATCTCGATCCGCGCCCGCGAGGCGAAGTTTTATTTAGTAAACTTCACCTCGCGCCACTGTTTATAAGCGTGTTTTCGCTCCGTGTCCCCGCCATTTTTAACTTGTTTATTCTTGGGGTCGCGAGGCGAAAACACGAATGACACAAGTCAGCCACCATACGTGATAGAATTTTTTTGGAGAGAATGTCTCCATAAATACTTACTAAATATGAAGCCATTCCCTATAAAAAGTAAAAATCTAAAATTCTTTTAGATAATGATTTGTTCCTTGTTTGACGTAGTATGCGAAAAAAATTGTTTAAACACATATACACGATTATTTTACACATATAAAGCATAATATTCTCAAAGGAATCGTTAGATGAAAACTTTGCAAGTTAATGTAAAAAACTTACGACTACCAAAGATCCTATAACTGCTAAAGTCTGATCTACAATATCCTGAAAATGATAACATTACATATTATGTAATCATAGCCTCGATCTTCAACAATATAATGACTGCAAGGTATTAACAAGTGTCAACATGTTGGTGGTGGTGGTGTTGGTAATTCGCGACAGGAAGCCACATTGAATTCATTCACCAGAGCACAGTTCAACCACCGCATCGTTCCTGGGCAGGCTGTCAAGCAGTTTACGAGTACTAGTTGCCTTCACTTAAGCAAGGAACTGAAACTTCTGTACATGCCAGAGTAGTGGTACAATGCAAATAACCGTAGAAAGAAGTTCATGATCAATCATAACGAGAGTGACCTGCGCCGCCCGAGAATGCCCGGGTCGCCCGATGCAAAGCCCAACGCTCTACCTTTGAGCAAACCCGGGACGGCATGTTGAATAAAATTTTTTAAAAGTAAAAATTCTTTTTATACTGTGCAGTGAATAGATTTTTTATAACATTTTATCCGTTTACAAAAATGGGTTTTTTATATAGTGAAAAAATATTTTTAAAAAAAATTCAAAAGTGCAATATATTGCTAAATAAAATTTAATTTTCCATTAAATTATTGCTATAATAAGATTTAATACCAGTTACAATATATTGTTATACCAAAATTTCATAACAGTGACATAACAGTGTTATAATAAGATTTCATAACAGTGACAATATAGTGTTATAATAAGATTTCATAACAGTGACAATATAGTGTTATAATAAGATTTCATACAAGCTACAACACATTGTTATAATAAGATTTCTCACCAGTGACAACAAATTGTTTATTGCAAGAGAACATTGAACGAAAACTTGATCAGCCGGTCGAACGTTGATATTGTAACCAGTTAATAAATCTGTTTGTAATTTACTCTCGTCATCGATAGAATAGGCACCAGTTTCTGAAATAGATTAAATAAGTAATAGAAAGAGCACCGAAACACGAGGTTATCTGATTTGTACGAGGGGGCGTAGCCCCCCGAGTATTAATCAGATTACCGAGTGTTTTGGTGTTCTTTCTCTTTTGTATCATAGTCTAACATAAAAACACGTTTCCCTGTTGTTACAATATGAAACCCCGGCAAAAATGAACCAATGAACGAGCATCTAAATATGACATTTCTGTCGATTTCACTTTCACTGCCGTCACAATATGTAAACCCCAGCAAAAATGAGCCAATCAATGGGCATGCTCTGGAGTGCGGGTAACTAATACCCGCACTCCAGTTAACGCACTGTGCATGTATATGTAAACGATTTAACCCTGACACATTTTCAACAGAAAGGTCTCCAAACTATGATACAAATGATATATACATAAATATGTACACATATTATTCTTGATTTTCGTTATGAATGACATATCATTTCGTATGTGCGCTCAGTATTACTGTTGATATAAACTCTAAAAATCATTTTCATAATGTGACCCAGCAGAATTTCACTACCTTAAAACATAAATTCGCTTCATATTTTAATAATACTTTTGAAAAAAATCATTAGCTCTAGCTATCTTATTTTTATCTCATAATTATTCTAATCTGCATTTTACAATTTATAATTATTCCTCTAGATATTTTCCATTTAACAATGTCCATTATGATGATTAATTGTGATTTTTAGCGGAATAAAATAAAAGATTCTTACCTTGATACAAGGAGGTGAGAAGCACACATACAATAATTTTGAACATTTTTACTTCGTGAAGATATAACTGGTCCGCACGCAGAGACTGGGAGAAACAGCATTTTATATAAGTACAAGATATACCATAAGCGCCAAACCATGCGCTTCTGACAAAATCTTATGTAAGTCGGAATAAATCAATGTCCATTAGAAATGTTTTGTAAAGGTTTGTAGTACATTCAAAAGGTTACGTGTGTGATTTAGTTTACATTATTATTTCCTTAAGTGGCCATTATCCGATACTTGTGTAGATGAGACAAAATGGGAACATTGTTTCACATTGCTCAAAACGTGATTTCTATATTTAAATCATTATATAATTTAAGCTATAATCTCAGTTAGTTAGCGAGACTGGTTAAATATTGGTTAAGTATTAACTTTAACAACCTTTTTCTGCCGGAAAATAAATGACCCTAAAACAAAAAGGTAATGTTTGCCTAAACTTACTTTAACTGTAAATTAAGATTTGTTGGTATTGAAAAATTCTCTCTTTTGTTACATTTCGTCAATGACCACCATTATGAAAATCGGACTTTGATTTTTTTTATTTAACTAGCAGATAGTAACAAACTGGCAGAAGTGTTTTTTGGTACTATACTAGCTGAAAATATATGTTTGATAATTACTAAATATATGTTTTAGGATATTTAAACACTCTTTTAAAAATTAAAAATTTTAATATTTTATAGTTTTAAAATTTCTTTAAAAATTTTTGAACGGGAAATTATATAAAAGAATTTAAAATTTTCTTAAACTGTTACAATGTAAATGAATGGCCCCGAAAAATAAAATTTTAAATTACATTTTTTGCGTTTAAAATTTCCCAAAACACGAATTTATAACCAAATACAATTCCATAAAATTCCATCAATTTCAGTAAGATTACTCTATTTTAATTGAAAAAAGAGATTATAAAAAATAGATTATACAGTTTCATATAATAAAATGCATGTTAAAGAAAAACTAATATATGAATTTTTCATTCAAATTTCAAACTAAAGAGATGAGCTAAACAAGAAAAGTATCCACTTTATTCTGCCGTTACTGATGACATGATTATATCAGTGTATATACCAAATATCAGTACCAAGTACCAACATTCTACACAAATCTTATTTATCTTATATACGTTCGACTTCCATATGTCTTATTATTTGTTTATCTTTATTGCTTTATTGTCAATGGTCACGACTATGTAAAGATCATGCTTGCGAGAGAAGCATCTTTTATTTTTCGGATTAGAAATTGATAAAATTGCATTGATTATGTTAATTTTTTGTTCTTTTCAGGTGAATATGATAATAATTTGAAACTTTCGCCCTTGTTGAAGTAAGATTAATGATGATTTTTATGTTATTTCGGTAATTATTCTAAACCCAAATTTTTAATTATGAACTAAATTTTTATACCCTTGAAAAAGGTTAGTATTTAGACTATTTTAAACATAAGTAAGATACTAATAAAACATTATAAAAAATAGATTGCCCCTTTTTTGTTATGATTCATTTTACCATTGGATTTACACCAGGATAAGTTGTAAGCTTATCATAAACCATATATTTGCAGCGAGCCGCTAACAACACTCTTATTGATTTTATCATCTTATTAGTTATCTTTACTTTGTAATATAAACATATTTACCATGGAATGATTGGCGATAAATATTGTTATCTAGGAATTGATGGTGATAACTATTGTTTCCTTGGTAAGTTTCTTATATATATATATATATATATATAAAATTGTTTTATGAAACAATATCTTAAGAATCAATTGTAAATCAAACAAACAATACATGTGACTGATTTATTTATTTATTTCATGATGGCTGTATCTTTTGTTTATTTCATTGTGTCTGCATTTATCTATATCAAGTTGTCTGTATTTATTTGTTTATTTTACTGAGTGTTGTATGGATGATAACAAGATTCAAACTATTCTACTATTTATTATATTTAATACATGTTGTTAAGACCAGAGCTCAAGTGAGAATGGCCAGGTATCAGAGAGGAATGGTCATATAAATAACAAGGCATTAATGAATATAAAGTTGTCTGTATTTATTTGTTTATTTTAACTAAGTCTGTATTTTATCAATCGAATTATGTCTTTAATAATGTACATGTATATCATGGTATCTGCATTTATGACAGTTGTTTTAATGAATATAATTTTCCTGTTAAAATAAAACATACTTGCTTTGACTGACGAACAGACAAATTATCTTTTCAAGAATTATAACAGATTATCTCACTTTATATGTAGAAACGTTAACATACAACAATATTAAGTCAGACATGCCTTCTATAACTTATACTGTTGGTATTTTGAGAAACAAGGGTATCATATAAAGCACAATACCATCTTGTACTTTTAGCTATTGTATAAAATGCACGTTTGTTATGTCGCCTTTCATTGGATATAGGGTTATATAACCTGTCAAAAATCTTTATAACGGTACTTCGTTTTTGTCCACATGTTCTACCTAGCTGTATAGACACTGTATATGTGTTTTCCGCTTCTGGAACAACTATTAATGGACTACAACATGCTGACAAACCGGGTATTTATCCATGACTTTGAGGTATGCCGTAACAATTGGTCCTGTAACGTAAAAGACGTCCCCCAATAACATTGAATTAAGAGGCTTTTTTGATACTAGATTAACAATTACGCTGTCGAGGCATGTGATCTAATAACTGTCTTCTACTCGGAGCTCAGGTGAAATAAAAACTGTTGCAAGATTGAGAACTTATAGACTATTTTAATCAAACAATGAATGAGAAAACAACATAAATCTGAATCTTACAAAAGATGAACGTTCATTATCTTGCCAGTTTAGAAGCGGTATATTGCCACTTAGAATAGAAAAACTAGTCGCTATATAGGAAAAACGGTTGAACAGAGGATATGTTGACTTTGCCCCTCAAACAAAGTAGAAGACGAACAAATATATCCTCTTACAATGTGCCATGTATAACAAATTTTTGGAACATTGTGCAAATTAAAAATTTAATATGTGAATTTGAGCATGTGCTAAACAATTTGTTGTAACTACTGTTATTGAACCAATACCGTTCAATTTTAAAGAAGAACCACATCTCTGTACGATATGATAAGACTATAATGTATAACATAATTCAGATTTGTTAATCTTTTGAATGCAAATTGTCATATGCAACATTTGCAATTACCGGGAGAGTTTAATTTACTATTCAAGATATTGTTATTATATAAAGTACTCAAGATATCACAGAACGTGTATTCATTTGTAATACAAAACAGAAATAACACTCATTCTTTCATACAACTGATTCCACTTAATACGTGCTTCTTTCTTTCTTTTTTTTTCGATTTTTGCTTTTTAAAGATATCGGTTTTAAAGATTCGGAAACAGCTTTATTCAAATGCGATAACATAAAGCGAAGCATATTCCTTAAACTATAATCATCTTCATAAACCTTAATTACAAATCGCTCTTCTTAAGTTTGTCAGAAATATACAAATTAATCCGAATTTGTATTTTATTTGTAAATACATAATATTTACTTACTAACTAAATTAATTACTTACTTAATACTGAGTTCAAGCGAGCGGGCCTCTTGCGAGGATAATATCATTATTGTCATGATTTCGATAAAATTAGTAATGAAGCTACGAAAGGTACGAGATTAATATATTCTATTTAAAACACACAGAAAAGCAATTATCCTTGCATTGATACTCTTAAGCTACAAAACTAACATTTAGCGCCTCTTTACGCTATTTCTGTATAATGCAAATGACGTCATGACAAAATACAAGTACCGTGAAAAACTCCTTTTCAAGGGGTCGCAAAAGCGCCATTTGTATCTGATTAATAATTTTTGTACATGAACAAGATAATATGAATTGCCAAACGATACTCTCGGTACTTCATTATAATTTTGTTATGTAAATTTTTCGATTGCTATATATACGATATATATATATATTTATTTTTTATTAAAATTTATCTGTTATTGCACTATCAAACATACATCACACATCCGACTCCTTTTTTCTCTCCAAAAGTTCATTACACCATGAGATATTGTATTATATATCTATTTACAATATACCATAACAAACATTTGCAGTAAATTATCAGCCGGTGAACAGTGTTTTAAAGTTAGTATTAACTTAATACATTTGATCTTTTTTGGGTATCCATCCTATAAGAACGCATAATATTCATGAAATGGTATTGTCTGCCAAAAAAATTATACATAGAAGTACAAATATATACATACCATCTTTATTTGTATATGATTTCTGATAAACATAGCAAAACAATATTTTCTCAGATATGTAATCACAATAATCGTCAGACGACAATCATTGTATGTATATTTACACAATTTCGGATATATAAACAAAAGTCAATGTCTTTAGCACGCCTTCTAAAATTTAAAATACATCATATATAGCTATTTCTATTTCTTTGAAATCCTGACGTCGTTGTTGTATATCGTATTCAATAAAGGGAAAATTTAGATTTGATGACAGCAGTATTAAATGATTCACATAAACATTTTTTCAGACGAAAGAAATCTTGTTAAATATTAAGGCTAGATATTTTGGCTTTCAGGAATAAACACAGAGAAAAAAACATGATTTACATTCTTTATAACATTTAGATATCTTATAGATGCAACCTAGGGTTTCTACATATTTCACAAAAATGCTATCTAATTGTGATTGAAACAATTTACACCAAAATGTGTTTGCGTGACGTCAGGTACAAATTAAGAAATAAAGTTTCTACTGATATCAATGTTGAATGATTTATTCATTCAGTTATTGACAAGCATTCCACTAAAAGTGATCATCCTATATGAGTCTTGGTAAAGCTGATAGTTGAACGCTGACAATGTTGACTTGACCCAAACTTTTTCTCCTGATTTTACTCTCGCTATTGCTCCAAAAGCACTACATGTATAATGATCCTTATCATAGTTCATATCAGCTCCAATAACTTTACCTTCTAACACTAGGCCAATGTAAGCATACTTTCCTTGATAAACACATGTATGAACAGAAAACTGATACAGTCCTCCAACGGGTGCTGTAAAAAATCCAGTAGAAGTGTCGTAACCTGTTCCCTCGTTAATCACACTTTTTGTAAATATAACAATCTCATTTGTAATATTAAGAACCAAATTTGTCACGTGATATGCATGGAAAGCGATTGGAGGTCGTTCAAATTTTCCTGAATTAAAAGTAATTCTGATATATTACTCTAAGAGTTATTATAGAAACATATCATTAACAAATATGATGAAATGTATTCAAAATAAGAAAATATACATGTGATTTAATCAGTTGAATGATAATGGGAAGGACTAGTCTATAGTTACAAGAACAGGTGTGTCGAATATAAAAAGGAAAAAAAAGAGTATTGGTGTTGAAATAGTGTACGAATGCACTTCAAATGAATCAATTGAATCATAAAACCAACTGAATCTTAAAAACAAAACATAGTTTTGAAAAATAATCATCACTTGGAAGAGAAATGCAGAATAATACCTTGAAGTTGAGTAAGTTCTTTTTCTCTTTTAGCTTCCATGTCAATCGTGAGGTTTGTTCTGGCCTCCTCAAATAATTTCTTAAAGGATTCTAAAAATATCAAAGGACAATTACTTACGGTAATCAAAGTTCTATAAATATTCAATGTGTTATTATGTGTACATGTGAACTGTGTGCAGAAAGTGTTACTGATAACACGGAATTTGAATCGAAACTTAGTTTTGCATAGCCTCTAAAATAAAATTTAAGGGAAGAAAAACAACTTGCATTCTAAAAAATATTTTGACTTTCCTCGCTCACATTCTATAATCACTTTTCAATTGAACTTTTTCGAAGTCCTAAATGTAATAAAAAGTCAGGGAATATGTTCCCTAATAAGAAAACCAATGTGATGAGTCAGTGTTTTCCTTCATGGAAATATCTTTGTTTTGGTATATTCAATGTAAATATTCACTGTAATTCATGTTTTGTATAGATCAAAAGTATATAAAAAGCATAACTTTCGCAAATCTTAATATAAATTTAAAAAACAGACCAGTGTTCTTTGGTATTCATGGTCATACTAGCACATTGTTAAGCACTAGGCTTTTACTTATCAATCAATCTTATGAAAATTTACATGTGGAAGTTATAATTTTGAACTGTTTTTATTTTCATTAATGGTTTTCATTTACACTTTCCCTTTATTTATTGCTTGCGTCAATAAAAGTAATTACATATTCTACAGTTAATAAATATAGAAATGATAGGAAAATGTGTCAGCATAGTAACCGATGTATGATATGTCTTCTTTTTTTAAAGCCAATGATTCTTTAAATTTTAAATATTCCACGCATTTATCATATTAAATATTTTCTTATTTTAGTTTTCATAAAGCAATACGAACTATTAATTTATATTGATTCAGACTTATACAACAATCAGTTGTACATTACATGCTAGAGATAGAAGTCATTTTACACATTGCATCAGTAATATTTCAGTATACAAATATCCTTTTCTAACAATGTAGATTTGAAGTTTATATTTTACCTTCTCTCCTTTCTATCTCGTCACTTCTCTTTAACATTTCATCTGTTATGTTCCATTTCATATCTGCAAACATGTCCGTAACAGTTTGTTTAATGTCGCCTAATGTACTGATGACATTATCCTCAGTTTTCTTAATTTCATTTACCATTGTTTCTACCTTAATTTCAGTTCTTATCATTTTCTCTAAAAGCTGTTCTTCATATGCAAATTTAGAACATACAGGTTCTCTAGCCTCCAAGACATGGGAGCTATACATTCCAAAGATAATTAAAAATGCAACTAACGATATGAAAGACATTTTAAATAAGTTACTATGAAATGTTTAAAAACACACTCTGAATCTCAAAACGTTATTAAAACTGTTGTGTTTTATAAAAGGGAAATCTGCCGACTTATTTGAAACGAGGCCCGTACGAAAACATTTGATTAAGGTTCTTTAGCACTTAGGATCAGGGGGGAAAGTTTAACAAACGTCAAAACAATAGCTTAATTTTGTTGTGTCGGCAACATACAAAAAATTCGTTCTGTAAGAAATATTATTAAATAAATAATAGGATAGCATAATATCTTTATAGTCATTATATAAGAATACCCGTGCTGTATATCTCCGCGTAAACAGTATTGCATGGTCGTGCATATTTTGATGTGTCATTTGCGCTATACAAATATAGAGTAAGACGCGCTAAATGTTAGTTATAAACGTGTCAATGAAAATTGCACCTTTTTACTATTTTCGGCATCATGCAAATTGAATGTTATATTCGTTTAGTTTCATTACAATATGTATTGACCTCGTTGAATAAATAGAGGATATTGAATGAGTGTAAGTTCAATACTGAATTTATTGCACGAGTTGAATAAAATTATATTATGCGGGCCTCTGGCGAGCATAATATTATTTCATTCAACGAGTGCAGTAAATTCAGTAATGAATTTACACGAATTTAATATTCTATTTATCACATACCCAAAAAAAAGACCGTTTAAAGTGAAATAAATGTCATTTTTCATTGACGCGCCTACAGTATAACGCTTACATTTAGCGCGTCTTTACACTATGTTTGTATAACGCTAATGACGTAACGTCGAAATTTATGCACGGCTGTGCAATACCATATTTACGGAGTCGCAAAATCGGCACGGTGGTGTGATAAAATAAAATTATAATCTTATTCAATTCGTTTAATGAATTCAGTGTTGGAACTGTGTTGCTGGGCTCTGTTACGGGATGCGTCCAAAGCCGCCTTTCCTTGTTGATCTTGTTCATCATCTGTTGACCTACATTAAATATCCTCTATTTATTGTCAGAAACAAATATACATTTCATAAAACATATTATTAATGGCAAATTAACTCATATTCATGAAGTTTGCAGCCTTCGCTATAAATGTACGTATATAAAGAAAATACATTAAACGAGTCGTTTATCAAAATAAATGATTTTATGTTCGTACAAACGTGCTTTCATTTTATTCAGTTTCTTCAATATTTCTTGACAACCCTTTCAAAAACAATAGCTTGGATACCAATGAATTCCAGCTAACTGTAAAGTGTGAAATGCGTCTAGAGTCGGTATTTCCGCTTTATACTTTTGTAATATGAAAAAATGCATATTGCATTTTTATTTTATTTTACTGTCAACTCATCATTCGATTATGCATAGACGGTACAATAAGAGAGAATACGTTCACATGTCTGGAAATGTGATATGAACATTCAATTACAAATGTTAACCATTTCTTGTATTTGAAATTGTTTAAACTTTAAACTGGAAAAGAAACGACTGTTACACATTCGTTTACATTGTTGAATTGTTACCACCTCTGAATTCGATTTACCTACCCCTGATCATTTGTTAAAATCTTTAATAAGTTCATCGGGATTGACTTGAATTTCAATAATCTCAAACATATTACAATGTAATTAATGAATAACATGTAATTTGTAAATACTATTTAGTAATGTAATGATATTTTTATAAGTAAAACAACACTCTTCCCGGCCCTTCTTTCAAATAGAAAACGTAAATATATAATGGTTTATAACCTTTTATCTTAATTATCTAAATCATTATATATTGTTTGATTATAATAAATGTTTCTGAGTGGTCCTCGCATTAAATAAATGATAAGTTTCATCATATTTAACGAGACACTCTGATAAAGACATTAAGGATACAATGGGTGCTGTTAAACTACAATGATAAAACCGGTAACAATTAGATATATCAATAAAAAAACAACATCATAGCGGACGCTATTACTTAATGTATATACGGTGCCTCAGACGGGAAATGTTTGTGTTTTTATTTGTTTTGGCACAAGAGATACTATGTCGTGCGCGCGAGTAACTTAGTCGTGTACACGAGATTATTATGTCGTTGGCAAGAGTTACGAAGTCGTGCGCACGAGTTACTAAGTCCTGCGCATTAATTAATAACCAAGTCTCGGGCATAATCTTGGGGGAATCTTATGTCCGGAAATCTAATAAAAATATTTCTGTAAGATCTTGCCAGAATACTGTTCAGTTGATTCCGCTGTGTATCAAAACAATCTTTGATGAGCGCAGGCCACTAGATGAAACTGCCTCTCGTAAGAATCTCCGTATTGTATACATATTTCTCTCCCTGGGAATTACAGGTGTCTACAATGGATGATAATCACATGGCTATCTCCCTAAGTTAGGACGACATACTACTATTAAGATATATATTATGGAGAGATATTATTAAATCGTGCGCACGATATATTTTGTCTTGTGCATGAGTTATATAGGAGAGCGCATGAAATAATAAACAAGATGGACAAGAGATACGGTGTCGTTCGCACAAATTATTAAGTCGTTTGCACGAGTTACTGCATACGAATTACTTAGTCGTGCTCACAATTCTAAGACGTGAACACAAGTTAAATAATAGGTGCGCACGAGTTACTAGGTCTTGAGCACGAGTTACTATGTGACATCAAAATTTATAAGGGTCTTTCTACTGGCCACTTAGGGACTCACGGCAATGGCTCTATCATGTAACAAAAACAGGGCTTATATTTTTGCAAGTTAGTGATTGAACAAGGATTTTAAATTCAGCGTCATTGTGAATATTCATAAATTCGTAACATAGGTTACTTAAGAAATATATGGACAATTACAGCCATAATAAGATCTCTATGAGCCGATTCGCTGCTTTATTATGTAGTTTATAATGTATCTAAATCTGGAAAAAGGCAATAGAGCAATACAAACAAAACAAATAGCTGACAGTTGCAGACTCGGTTTTATAGCGTCTTCTTATGAGAGATATGTCATGAACACTAACAAGTACTCGGATGATTTTCTTTTTTCAAAACATTGTTTCGATTATCGGTTTTAAATTTTTACAATTATAAAATACACCATTTCATGTTTGTTTCATGATGTTTGCACGGTAATGTTATAGACGGGTTTGATTTTCAGAAAAGACCTGTCGTTAAGAGTCTTACGGCATTTTTTTTAGTACAAGCAGGTAGTCAATCGTTTTTACATATTTTTGGTACGCTGAATCCATTTTTTGCTCCACCACGGCTGTACTTGAGGTCCTTGACCTTCTAAAGGTCAAATCAAAATGGCCGCCATTGCCCTTTACCATCCACTTAATAATGGATTATTTCTGTGTTAATAGCGTATTGTATGTCCATTCATCTACATGGAATTAAATTTCAATTATTTTAAGGCATTACTGGCTGATTATCAAATATGATTTACACATTGACTACTATGGCGGCCATCTTTTATTTCAAAAAGACACCTTTTATAACAAATATAAAAAAGTGCTTTAAAACAAATGAATCCTTCTGTAAGAATAATTATCAAAAATATAATAATGATAACAACAACATGTCATGTAGAACTATACACAATGTGTAGGTATGCTGCACACTTAAATTGTTAATTACATTATTACTTCAAATCTATTACAGGTCATTCTGTATTAACAAATACTCAATGAAAGGTACCGGGTATATGAGGTCCGAAATGTCTTACATAAACCAGCACAATTTAATTTACAATTAGATTTTGAAGTTTTAATTTAGATAAAATATCATTTGGAACACTTAATCATTTTATAAAATGAAGGTCAAGAGTCAAGGTCAGTATGTAAATATTTTAAAACTTGCCTTTCATCTTTAAAAGCCAGCGAGTATGTCTATGCGGACCAAGGCCGCATGTCATTGCAACAACATCTGCTGAACGACCCGGTTTAAAATAGAAATACAAAACAAAAACAGAATCCCCCCCCACAAAAAAAAAAAAAAACGCTGAAAACGGCAAAATTTAAAAAAAGTTGCAGACTCGGTTTCATTATGCCTGTTCATGAACGGTAATGGAAATTGCAAGCTTCCATTTAAGCCCCCTAGCACCGGCCTCAGCAGAGTTCATAATTGGGAAAATAAAGAAATTAAGATACATCGCAGATGTGTTTGGACAATTAGATTTTATTGTTATATTGCTATAGCTACTTTATTAAGTGTCAGCTTGATTTCATGAAATAACTTCATTGTCTTAGTTAATAGCAAGTACATTTTATGCCACTTTTCCAAGGACGCTGCACCTTATTAGTCCCCTACCGGTTTACCGGAGGGGACTTTAGGTTTACCCTCCGTCCGTCCGTCCGTCCGTCTATCCGTCCGTCAGTCCGTTCGTCCGTCTGTCCTTCCGTCAGTCCGTCCGTCCACAAAACTGGATCCCGCGATAACGCAAAAAGTACTGAATATATTTTATGAAACTTGATATATGGATAGATGGCAGTATGGAGATCAAGGGGCAGGACGTGAAGTGGTTGCACACTTGGTTCAAGCGAGCGAATTGGTTGCAAACTTGACAAAATGGCAAACACGGCGTGTATTTTTGAAACGGTATCTGTAATGACGTTGTCGGTATCTTCTCCGCTACCAAGGTCATCATAACTGTCAATGACAACAACAACGTCAAAGCGAAAGACAACTTCTCGCCGGAATCTGTCGGAACAGCAAATACTACTAGACCAAGCAGCTGCATGAAGAAAACTGGAAGCACGATATTAATCAAGTAGTAGGAGTATTTTCGACTTAGTTCTATACCAAACACAAGATACTCAAGGGTGAAACTAGAGTTAGGGTCAATATCTATTCTAGCGTATGTTTGTGTGACGTCATATTCGCCATTTTGTTCCAAACGTTCAATATCAATTACGTCATAAACATTATTCAATTTGATTGTACTAGCCGAGAACATCAATGTTGATATCTGAAAAAAGAATCAGTAATGATGAAATTTAACAGTCCTTTTTTATTATTTGAATTATGTTATTTTAGGTTAGTTTAACGACATTTTAAAGTTCACAATGACGTACCTTAGGAAATGAAATAGGGACGATGTTGGAAGAGGCAACATACTGTTCTGTAAACTGAAAATCTTTCTTATGGATGATAGAAAAATAAAAGAATACTGGTATGATGATCAAATTCATACCTATAATAGGTAAATGGTTTACCTTTTCCATAAAATTTGTAGCTGATATTATGGCATATATAAAACACGCATTTACAAAAAAAACGAATATAACGGAATGTTTTCAGATTAATAACAAACAAGAGATAATACTGAAATGTTAGAACAAGAAAGAAATATATGAACATACCACGATTTCACATGTCTGTGTATCGAAGGGAAATTTGGAGATGTCCACTTATATATATATATTTAGCAGGATGACACAAAGTAAGCTGGTGCGGGCAAAACTACTGAGCCACTGGGGTTTACACTCATTGGGATACCTTTCTGGCTCCTATCATCGCCTATCACTTCTATTCCGGTCACACTGTAATTGTCAGCTTAACAGTGGAATATTGATAATAGTATAAAGATTGTATATTTCAAACTTTCACTGAAGTATACGTGTACCAATTACGCATCTTGATATCAAACTTAAATCGGTACGTAACTTGGTAAGTGCGTAATCATTTCTTTAACCGGTTATTTTTATTTAAAGGTCTGTATATTCTGTACATAAATGAAAAGTCAAATGTAAGAAAACAGCGAAATTAATTGCATTAAAATATCGATAATTAACGCGTTTTTGCTATTTTTGAAATACATGCATGTTTTCCTTTTTTCATATATTGGCTTTTTACTTTTCACATTTTGCCATTGAAACGGATATATGCTAACGGCATACACAAGTTTCATGGCTTTCAAATATTTGCTTTAGAATATGTCAAATGCTTCTAATCAAAAGGAAATTAGAGCTGAATGAGAATTTTTTGTCATGAAAGTAGGAAAATATGACCAGAAAGTAGTACATGTATTTGACTTCCATACAAAAAACTAAATCACTATACATGTATCTGTACTTATTGCCAAAAAGCAACAAAAGCAAAAGATTGCTCAGAGAATTGGCAATGTGTAACTTTTGATGGAAATTACAACAGGACAAAGAAAGTTAATGACATATTTCTGATGTATAATGGGAACCTTTTTTTATATAAGTAAATAAATAGGACATTTACCTGACCGCAAACTTCGGGCCTTTCATTTCTGAAGCTAATATCTATTTTTGAAGTTCAGAACTGTTCACTAAGTAGGGGAGATAGTGTGTAAGCGGTCGGTTAGATCAATCGGTAGAGTCGATGTACGATATTTGGATGGTACCTGATTAAAGTTGCGGTCAGGCTGCCTTTCATTTTTCATTCTATTTTTGAGGCCATACTTTTTAAGTGAAGAAAAAATACAGCATTCCGTGTTCGAAATATTTGCTGTTACCTTAGTGCAAAAAAGAAAGAAAAGTTGGAGTGATATGACTAACACACCTCGACGCTCCTCTTCATCAAGGTAAGAAAATGCCTTATTACAATTATCCCTAATAAAAAATAAACATACATTCATGTCACTTTCCTTTTTACTGATAACTAACCTGATAGTTTTTTTCTATTATTCATGTATATCTTTATTGGCCTCCAACTATTTGAGATTTTCAAACCGGTTTCATCAAAATCGTAAATTTGATGGCAAAGTATAGGCAGTGACTAGTTTAAGAAAACCGTCTAAATTTTAAGCAATAATATCTATGATATAGCTTTTCAGTGCACAGGAAATAACAAGTACTATTGTAAAACACTGGTTGCAATCTGTTTTACTTCCCTTTGTAGAAACATAAGTGAAAACAAAACCATGAAAGATATCATTATCAAAATAGTAAATACGTAAAATATGTGTTCTGATTAAGTGATAATTCATTTAAATTGTCAAGGATGTAACCATAAAACACAAGCTATATTTTAGTCAACCTTAAAAAAAACCCTGACAAATACATCATACTCCTTCATACGCATACGCAGGTAGTTTAACAATGATGTTACAAGTAAATATCTAAGTAAATTATGCCATTCATAGTTTCTGTATGTTGCATTATACAAAAACATGTTTGTGTACGAGTTCTTTGCAAAACAATATTCCTGTACAATTACGAAGATACACAACTGTTAAAATCATATGACAGTTGTTTCAATGAATATAGTTTTACTTTTAAAATAAAAGATACTTGATTTGATTGCCGGGCAAGAAAAGTATCTATCATTAAAAAAAACTTATAACCAATTATCTCTCTTTATTTTTAAAAAACTGTTAAATACGACAATATCTATTTAAGACAGGCTTTCTGTAACTTATTATATTGGTGTTTTGAGCAACAGGTGTATCATATAAGAGCACAATACAATTTTTTTGTATTTAAATAATGAACGTTTTTCATTGGATATATACAATAAATAATGAACGTTTTTCATTGGATATAAAACCTGTCAATATCTTTATAACGATACTTTTTTGCTGTAGACAGGTACACATTCATTTTCGCATGATACAGGTTCGCTACCTAGCCTGTATAGGCGCTGCATATGTGTTTTTCGCTTCTGGAACAGTATACTATTAATGGATGACAACATGTTGACAAAACGGTAGTTTATCCATGACTATAAGGTATGCCGTAACTATTTGTCCTGTGACTTAAAACAAGTCGACGAATACCTTGGATTAAGAGTGTTATTTGATACTAGATCAACGATTACGCTGTCGAGGGCACGTGCTCGAATCACTCATTTCTAATCAGAGAAATAGTAAAGTGAAATCCATACTGTTTCAAAATTGAAAACGTTTTATTCATACAATGAATGTGAAAACTGCATAAAAATGAATCTTTCCAAAACATTTTACCAAAATATGAATGTTCATTATTTTGCCAGTTAAGAAGTGGTATATTGCCACTTAGAATAGAAACTGGTCGCTATATAGGATAAAAAGGATTGAACAGAGGATATATATATATATATATATATATGTAGACTTTGCCCCTAAAACAACGTAAAAGACGAAAAACATTTCCTCTTATAGTGTGGCATGTAGAAGAAATATTTTGGAACGTAGTACAAATTAAAACATTTAATATGTGAATTTCCTAGAAAATGTACTAGATTTGTTGTAAGCACTGTAATTGAACCAATACTATTCACTTATGAAAGACGAAATATATTTTTTACGACATGATTAGACATAATAGATTTATTCATCTCTTGACCGTAAATTACCATATGTACCATTTGCAATTACTGTGAGAGTTTTGTTTACTTTTTTAAGATATTGTTATAAAATATATTATATCACATAACAAATTAAAGAAAGTGTATTTATTTGTAATACAAAACAGAAATAACATTCATAATTTCATACAATTCATTCCATTTAATACGTGCTAATATCTTAAATTTTGTCATTTACCAAAGTTTAATATTACAAATGAAAGGTTAAAATTAGCGGCATTATTTAACATGAACAACTAGAATCTTTATGATGGAATACCTTGTTGACCTTTAATTTTATATTTTTTCTTCTTTTTGCGTTTTTGCTTTTTAAAGATGTCGATATTAAAGATTCGGGGACAGCTTTATTCAAATCCGATAACATAACCACACGAAAAGAAAGCGAAGCATACTCCAAGATTCATCAATCTGATTTACTTATCGCTCTTCCTAAGTTTGTCAGAAATATACAAATTGACTCAAATTCGTTTTCTATGTGTAAATACATAATTTTGATTATTATTATTATTATTATTATTATCATTATCATTATTATTATTATTATTATTATTATTATTATTATTATATGATGACTGGTGACATATACGCCTATGGGGAAGGGTGTCATGTTATTTTTTTGTAGATGTGTATTATAATATATATGCACATGTCACGATAATAAAATACATAACTTACTTAATTGACAAAATTTAAATATTATACAAATTTGTATTAAATATGATAATTATTTGTTCACAGATGTATTCTTTTAGAGATATGCTCAAGGAGTTGCAAAAGCGCTATTGGTATCTGATTAATAATTTTGTACATGAACAAAAGAATATGAATTGCCAAGCAATACTTTCAAAGATAATTATACATATACTTCATTATAATTTTGTAGCATACTATTTTTTCTTTGCTTTAACATTTTCTGATTGCCTTTTAAATTTTTTTTTTAAAACTGGGAAAAAAAAATTTATCCCTTGGGAAAAATTAATCACAACAAAAAATTAAAAAGAGAATTGCAGAAATTTGGTTTTTAATTTTGTCTGTAAATGAGGGATAAATTTTAAAATGCAAATCCCATAAATCCCCTTGGCACCGGTTTAGGGTACTCAAAATTTTTTAACATCAAAAGGGGCTGGCATCAATGATCCCGAAGGACCAGAAAAATGTAACAACACTGAAGTGAAGTACGGGGAACTTTTTACAGCTGCCACGCTCACTTGACACCTGCTGTTGTGAAGTATTAAAATCTGGAGACAAAGTGATCCCTCGGAAGCATTAATCACAACAAAATAACAAGAAAATTGCAGACTCGGTTTGTTAACTCTGTACATGAGGGATAATGTAAAGTGCAACATCCCTAACACACTCTAGCACCTGCTTATCTGTCATTGCAACAACAAACAGAAACACATACGCCTCTTTTTTATCTCCCAAGAAACAAAACAACATGGAATATGATATGACTTTATACATTATACAGTTCAGATATACAATAACAACTTTTGCAGTAAATTATCAGCTGCTGCACAGTGTTTCAAAGTAAGGATTAAGTTTAGAATATTGAGGGTTTTTAGTATCCATCATATACTAACGCATACTATTCATCAGAAAGATGATATTGTGTGCAAAGAAAAAAATAACAACAAAAATAAAAGAACAAGTATTCATGCCATATTTATTTGAAAACGCGACAATATAGTTGTATATGTATACTGAAAAACATGGCAAAAAAAATATGTTTTCCAAGATTGGTAATCAAAATATTCGTCAGACTATAATCATTGTATGTACGTCTACACAAATTTATATACGAGGGTTGTTCGGGAAGTTCTGAGAATTGTTTTGTTGCACACGTTGTAGTCGGGTTATCGTAAATATAAATATATACGCATTTATTTCAATATATACTGTACAGTATCTGAAAATATCATCAGCATACACACAGAAACTAAAACATAATAAAAATAGTAAATAGCCATATAACAAACACCCGGAGCACGCCGACGTCATTTGCAAGGTTATGCGACGTTAAAGTCCATCGATCGTCGCACCTTTTCAACGTAGTCACCTGCAATTTCGATGCATTTCCTGTGTCGGCTGATACACTTATTAGTATTCCGTGTACAGTAGAAATTGATACGCAAAGTTCATCTGCAATAGCTCTAACTGTCGTTCTTCTGTCGCAATTTATCGTGTCTTTTACCGAGTCCTTAATTGAACATGCAACAACAGACTGCCGACCGCATCTAGGTTCGTCTTCGATCGAGTTTCTTCCTTCTTTAAAACGAGCATGCCATCTATACACTGTAGCCGGACTGCATTTCTTGTATTTTCCTATAGAATTGATCATTTTTATCGTTTCTGTTGAAGGCTTTTCCAGCGCAACACAAAATTTCACGATGCTTCAAAATTCAACGTCACCTATCGACGTCATGTTGTTTACTCAGTGGCTCTGGGTAACAACTTTTAAACAATGTTGATCCGTTGAGAATTTAAATAACGTTATGATATTTTCAGGAAATGACGTCATGACGTTCCACTGCTGACCAGCGTTTTCGCGCATTTTATACTTTATCAAAATTACAAAATATTACTAGTGTAGCATGTTATACCTTTCTTTAGAGTCGGACTGCTCCGGTGCGGCGTTATAGTGTTGCTATGGTTACTACTATTTCCGGCTATCGTTGTCTGATTCTATTCAATTTTAAGAAATAGTTCCGTGATATGCTAATCTTAGTATATGCAAAATATTACGCCTTAGAAACAAAAAATATAGGAGATATGACAAAATTCTCAGAACTTCCCGAACAACCCTCGTATATATATATACATGTAATGTCATTAACAAAAGCCAAGTATGTCAAGCAAGCCTAGTAAAAACTGTATATATATATATATAAAATCCTGACGACGTTGTTTTACATCGTATTCACTAAAAAGAAGTTTAGATTTGATGACAGCAGTATTAAATGATTCACAGAATCATTTTTTCAGAAGAAAGAAATCTTGTTAAATATTAAGGATATTTTGGCTTTCAAGAATAAACACAGTGAAAAAAACATGATTTATATTCTTTATAACATGTAGATATATATGATAGATACAACCTAGGATTTCTACTTATTTCCTAAAAGCTATCTTATAACTTTGATGTTAAGTCTTAAGTGATTGAAAGAATTTGCAAAAAAATGTTTTTGTGTGTCATCAGGTACAAATATAGAAATATGATTTTACTGATATCAATGTTGAATAATTTATTCCTTTAGTTATTGACAAGCATGCCACTAAAAGTGATCATCCTATTTACGTCTTGGTAAAGCTGGTAGTTGGAACTTGATGCTGTTGATTTGACCCAAACTTTTTCTCCCGATTTTACCCTCGCTATTGCTCCAAAAGCACTACACGTGTATTGATCATTATCATAGTTCATATCTGCTGCAATAACTTTACCTTCCAACACCAGACCAATATATGCAAATTTTCCATAATAAACACAGGTATGAACAGAAAACTGATACAGTCCTCGTACGGGTGCTGTAAATATTCCTGTAGAAGTGTCGTAGCCTGTTCCTTCGTTAATCACACTTTTCGAAAATATAACAATCTCATCTGGAGTATCAAGAACCAAATCTTTTACTTGATGTGCATGGAAAGCAATCGGAGGTCGTTCAAGTTTTCCTGAGTATAGAAAACAGTGAAGTAAGTACGTGTTTCTTACAATTGTTTCGTTATGATTTGATATTTGTTTGTATATCTGGTTATTAAGAATTTTAATACGTATCAATCGTTGATGGTTAAATATAAAGAATAGCAAGACTTCCTGATTTTAATTTGGAATTCAATTTTTAAAATAAGCGTTTGGGAAATATCTTATGAATATCTGTGTAAAACATGATATTTTTAGAGCTATAATAGAACTATGTTTGTAAAATAAAGATGATGACATGACTTCAAAATTAGAATATGTACATGTAATTAAATAAGTTTAAAGATAATGGCAATAATAGTTTATAGTTAACGCAAAAGGTGAGTTAAATTCTTAATCATTCAAACTGACTATTGATGTATTATATAACGTGAATTCACTTTAAAACAATCAATTGAATAATTAAATAAGATTTTATGAAACACAGTTTGGAAAATTATCATCCCGTGGATGTAGAATGAGAAAAAAATACCTTGAAGTTGAGTAAGTTCTTCTCTTTTAGCTTCCATGTCACTCGTGAGGTTGGTTCTGGTCTCCTCAAATAATTTCTTGAAGGATTCTGTAAAAACGTATCAAGGTACAATTACTGTCACCAAATTTCAATAAGTGTTATAAATGTTATTATGTGTACATATTGACTGCATGCAGAAAGTGTTGCTGATAACACGGAACTTGATTCGAAACCTTGTTTTACAAGGCCAGTAGTATTACTTCTGAAATAAAACTTTAGTAAAATAAAAGATACAATCCGCATTCTTATATATATATTGATTTTCCTTGCTCTCCTTCTATAATAAAATTTCATTTTTTCTCGAATTTCCATTGGCTAACTAGCCATTTTCTGACGTAGAATATAATATAAAGGGAATAATATATTTTCCCATATAAAAAAAACTAATAATAAATCTGCCACGTGATGTGCATGGCAAGCGATGGGAGGTCGTTTAAGTTTTCCTGAGTATAAAAGAGATTATTATATATTAGAGTTATTAGAAAAACTTGTCTGTAAAATAAAGATGATGAAATGTATTCAAAATAAGAAATGTAATTGAATCTGTTGAACGATGATAAGAAGGACTAGTCTATAGTTACAGCAACAGGTTGGTCGAATATAAAAGAAATATTCAAACTGATAATTGATAAAATATTGTACGTGAATGAACTTCAAAAGATCCAACAAAATAATAAAACCAACAGAATCATAAAATCATAACCAAGTTTTGGAAAATAAACATCACATGGAAGAAAAATGCGAAATAATACCTTGTTGTTGAGTAAGTTCTTCTCTTTTAGCTTCCATGTCACTCGTGAGGTTCGTTCTTGTTTCCTCAAATAATTTCTTCAAGGATCCTGTAAAAATAATATCAGAGTACAATTACTATAATACCATGCACATAACTAGTAATAAAAGTTAATAAGTATTATATGTGTTATTTTGTGTACATGTGAACTGTCTGCAGAAAGTGTTGCTGGTAACACAGAACTTGTTTTGGAACTAAGTTTTATATAGCCGTTAGTGTAACTTCTGAAATAAAAAATTAAGGGAAGAAAAACATCCAGCATTCTAACAGATATTTTGATTGTCTTTGCTCACATTCTATAATCAAATTTCAATGTTCTATTGGCTGACAAAATAGCCATTTCATAAGGTTATTCAATATAGAATAAATGTAATAAATAGTCAGGGAATATGTTCCGTAATAAAAAAAACCAATGTGATGAGTCAGCGTTTTCCTTCATGGAGATATGTTTGTTTTGGTATATTCAACAAAAATGTTTACTGTTATTCATTTAACATTAACATTTACTGTAAATCATGTTTTGTATAGATCAGAAGTATACAAAATCATACAAATCACATATCTTTAAATATACAGCAGTTTTCTTTGATGCAAGAGCTAGAGAAAGGCACACGACACAATAAGGCAGAAGGGTAATAATTAATTGATGTACTTTTTTAAATTTTATATATGTTCATGCTGCACATTGTTTAGCACGGGGCTGTTAATCATCAATCAATTTTATGAAAATTTACATGGGAAAATTTACCATTTTATTGTTGTTATTTTGTTTTCCCTTTATCTATTTATAACTTGCATCAATAAAAGTTATGCAATATTCTACCGTTTATTAACATAGACATAAATGTCTAATAGACATAAATGTCTGATAAATATGTCAGCATTGTAACAGGTGTATGAAATGTCTTCTTTTTTAAGGCTTATGACTCTTTGAATTTTAAATGTTCCACGCATTTATCATATCTCATTTCAGTTTTAATAAAGCTTTGTGAACTATTACGTTATTTTTATTAAGACCTAAACAACAGTCAGTGTACACATATCATTTTCTATATATGATGTTAATATTTTACCTTCTCTCCTATCTATCTCGTCATTTCTCTTTAACATCTCATCCGATATGTTCCCTCTCATATCTGCAAACATGTCCGTAAAGTCAGCAACTGCTTGTTTAATATCGCTTAATGTACGGATGACATTATCCTCAGTTTTCTTATTTTCATTCACCATTGTTTCTACCTTAATTTCAGTCCTTATCATTTTCTCTAAAAGCTGTTCTTCATATGCAAATTTAGAACATACAGGCTCTCTAGCCTCAGAAAAATTATAACAATATGTTCCAACGACAATAACAAACACAAATAATAATGAGAACCTCATTTTGATGAGAACAATTGCAACAAACTCTGAGAAGCTTTCAGGATTGAACCATGTGAGAGAAACTGCTGTATTTATTCAAAGAAAATATGTCAGTTTGAAAATGAGGCCCATATATCAAAACCATTTTGAAAAGGAACAGAATTTCACTATTCGAGTCATAGAGTACACGGACTTTTATGCATTAAAAGAAAAAAAAACAGGCATAGTTAAATATCTTTATTGTGTAGTCGTAATTTGTTTAAAACAATGCTGAGTTGATATTGCGATCTTGTTTTGTATTTTATTACAACCGTTCATGCTTTGACTATAATATACCATTTCTCTTATTTCATTTATTGTACATGTTTATACGATAAGTATGACATGCGACCATTGTTACACATCAGTAGCTACTGAAAACGTGTGGTTGAGTCTTTACGTCAATTTGCTGAAGTATCTGATTTGTTCCCGTTGTTCTTCGTATAAATGTCTTGACAAAATATATAGCTATCATTAAACGATCTGTTTTGATTTGTTTAACAACCCTGCCAGACATGACCTTAGCAGCATATTTATGACATGAAAATAACATACTCGGCTTGTTCATATTATGTTTATCCTACCAGTTTGGTCAATCAATTATTATTGCTCCAGCCCTGTTTATTTTACCAAACATCAAGCGTCAATTATATTTTTGATAAAACAATTTTATTTTAAAGCCTTTCACGTTTGATTTATTTGAACCTATCGCTACTATACAATTTTGAACAATTAATATTGCTAGATTCTTAAAGGTTTTGTAGTCATATAGAAATTAAATACCTTTTTGAAAAATCTTTGCATTATTAGAAATTACTTAGTCCGGGCCTTATGTTTAAAAGAAACAGTGAACATATGTCTGTAAAATATTATCTACGCTAATAATCAGTATTTTGTTAGTTCAGTAAGATAATAAGGCTTATATTTTCAAGTTAATATCTGCATCTTAAACGCGATAATAAATAATTACGAATGATTAATTGGTGTTAAGTTGTGTTAAAAGATTTGACGACCAGATAAATCAGTGCATTAAACAGATGCCAATGTAATTAGATTTCAATTTCTTAATCCTTGTAAAGAATTCTAGCATTCATTTTATCTAGGAAGATTATGAACAGCTGTGAAAATTTAGTTCATAGAAGTTCGTGCGTCAATTTCGTGATATGCGAACTTCAATACGAAGTCGGATAAGAACGTTTTTATTTATTTAACCTTTTATTTTCTGTTTAAAAGTTTGTATATTATGCATATATATAGAAGAGTCATGTTTGAACGCAGGATAATTTGCATCAAAATATCAGTCATTTACATTTTTTGGCAACACGCGTGTGTTTTTGTTTTTTATATTATCTAATTACTTAAAGGTGACAACTAAGTGACAATTAAGAGACTTCCTCTAGAATATTGTGTATTGGCTGAATTTAGAATAAAGTAGTCTGGCAAGACTAAATACAGGAAATATGTTTCACTGCAGCGAAAAATAAATGTTTACTGTGAAAATACGGACAATCAAAATACACTATTTATTTCATCAATATTTTTCGATGTTTGATTTATAAGTATATAATAATATTACGAACACTGTTTTCAAATTTTCATTTATTGACACGTTATTTGATAACAATCTTTGTGTTTTCAATCCTTTCAATAAATAAGTCATTTTGCGATATGTGTATTTACATTCCAAATAATTGTTATTTACCAATTGTGTTTATTTCTTTATTTAAACTTTATCAGGCTATTGAATTTATTCTGCGCGGCATTTTAAGTGATAAAGCCATTTAATTAAAACGATATTACACTAGTGTAATAACACTTTGACGTGACGTCATTTGCGCTATATAGAAACATAGCGTTAAAGCGCGCTAATGTTAGCGTTACGCTACAAACGCGCCATTGAAAAATTACTCATTTCAACAGTTTACTGTTCTTATTATATATATGTGATAAAAAGAATATTATTTTCGTGAAGATTCATTACTAAATTTATTAAACTCGTTGAATAAAACAATATTATGCTCGCCAGAGGCTCGCATAATATGATTTTATTCAACTCGTTCAATAAATTTAGTATTAAACAACACTAATTTAATATCCTCTACATATCGATAAATTGAATTTCCGTATGTTAACAGTTTAAAAAATGTAGTGTTAACCTTCTGGTAATCTGAAAAACATTTTATATTCTAGCAATATCATAAATTTATCATAAAAGTTCCAAACGGAGTATACGGGAAACTAAGATCTATATAAGCCGTGTCGCTACCTAAAAATAGTTAATATAAGCCACAGTCAAAATTACCCAGGCGCAATACAATGTGCGATATTTGAAATTGATATATAAAACTCAGTTATTGAAGATATTTTTACCAGTAACATGCAAAGGCACACATGCATAAAGAGATACAGAATCAAATATAATTTTAAAATAGACAAAAACAGAATCCCTAAAGAAAGCCAAACACGGCTATGTTGCAGGCTCGGTTTGATTGAGCCTGTTCATGTAAGACCAAATATCAAAATATTCGAATTTTCTTTTAAACAATAGTCGTCTAAAAATCATGTAATCCAAGCTTGGGAATTGAAATAACGCCTATAACGGCCATGGCCAGTTTTCCCTTTTTTCACCAAGATAACATTCTTAACACTAAAAATAGAAAAAATGTACTGGTGAAAAGCAATTAGTTAAGTTAGACATGTGTGTGTTTTATTACTGGTAATTAGCCTGCGATTGAATGCAATTGTGGCAGTTAACAACAAACAAAATTAAAATTAGAAAAAAAAACGGCCGGGAAAAAAAATATTTCGTTTGGCGACGATAATATTAATGCAGCGTTTAACATGTCATTTCGGTTTTACAATGTGCTGATATCGCAAATGTAGGTCGGATATCGGAATGTCTACTTCAGTCAATATAAGATTTTTATCAATAGATAAATCTAACAAACATCATCCTTCTATACAAATTGATCCTAGTACAATGCCAGGAGGATGTAAGACGTAAAAGACAAAACCTTAACATCACATTTATACTTTATGAAAACAATATTAATCGTTCTGCTTTCCTATTCCTTTATTGTTATAATGACCATTGATTTAAGAGCTGACATATTACATTGTTCTATATATAAAGTGTCATTACAAAGCTTATAAGAATCACCGCACTGTTGTTTTTTGTGCAATGTTATACTGGTTTCCTAGCAGTTTTCGGTCCCAAATCGCTCTTGTTTACAAATAAAATAAGGATCTGTGAACGGGTGTGCACACCTTCGACCTACCTGTCAAGCATTCCCTTGTTTTCAATGTTGCTCTTATAGTTTACATTTAAGTTGACATAGGACCATTTTATCCAGAAATATCTTAAGGTACAGTTGTAAATTGAACGAACTTTACATTATGAATGTATTTATATATTTCAGGTAAGTCTGTTAAAAAAACCTATCGTATGGCATTCTTTGCTGGCCTGGGCGAAAACAAGGGTCAGATAGAAGAAAACATTGATCTTGTTTTCGATAAGGTTCTCACAAATATTGGAGATGCCTATGATAAACAAACTGGAAGAGTCACTATTCCTTTCTCTGGATTGTATCATTTTACTGTCGTGATTGCTGCCCAGGGGGGACAAAAGGTATAGAATTTCCTTGATGACGTCATTAATGACGTCAGTTTAATAACATCAAAGTGCAAATGCGAAACGAATCGAATTTTAAAAGATATACTGTGCTCAAATTTGATATTGAAAAATATTGATAATTGCAACACGGTCTCTTTGTAAATACATGTATAAATAAACATGTTTGACTTCACACAAAGCAGACATGTTACATTGAAAATTCTACACAATATCGATCTAGGTGGTCACAACCACAGGTGGCAGTATCAGTGTTTGGACACCCCATTCCTATCTGCCCCTGGAACCCTACTTCAACGTTGAAAAAATTAATTCAACACTCTAAGGCTTACTATAAGGTACCAAATACAAAACCATCGATGAAATTATATAAAAAAAAAAAATTTCCATTATCAAAATTATAGTTATAGAAAGGTGAAAAGCCTATTATATGTTCATTTGCCAAACAATGTGGAACAAGGGAAATCGTCGTTTTGGCGACTGAGGCGCATTCCATCGGGTTTTGCTGCATCATTCATTTACATCAATAAAAAGAACTTGAATTCCACAGCTTACTTAATTCAAGTTTAACGAATATCAATATTCTATCGATTTTTTTTAATTTCACGGTAATTTTTGACTTGTCGCTGCCATTTTGGATTCTGATACCTGTGTGTTATACGCGATCTGATTGGACTTCAAATTTGGCTCGTCCAATCAGATCGCGTATTTCAACCCAGGTATCAGACTGCAAATTGGCTACGACAATTCAAAAAATACCGTGAAACAAAAAAAATCGGAATGATAATGATATTCGTTAGACTTGAATTAGATAAGCTGTGGAATTTTAGTTCTTTTTATTAATGTTAATGAATGATGCAGCAAAATCCTGCCGGAATGCGCCTCAGTCACCGAAACGACGATTTCCCGTGTTCCACATTGTTTGGCAAATGAATATATAGTAGACTTTTCACCTTTCTATAACTATAATTTTGATAGTGGACATTTTTTTATATATATAATTTCATCCGTGGTTTTGTATTTTGTACCTTATAGTTAGCCTTAGAGTGTTGAATTATTCTTTTTCAGGGTTGTAGAAGGGGTCCAGGGGCAGATAGGGGTGGGGTGTCCAAACACTGATACTGCCACCTGTGATAACAACATGAATGTATATGATAACATAATTACCAAAGTAATGCAAAATGTAGATTCAAACACAGAAATTTATATCCAGTTTAAAAATCTAACTTAAGTGTATATTTTTCATTCATTACGAAATCTAATTGTCCTTTTAATGCATGTTAAGTATACAATTACATTGTGTCAGTCTTACAAAAAGATACTGCCTTTAAAACATTGATTACCATATATACAAAGAAGGTAAATATCTAAAAATGTTGATTTGTTACTAATGTTTTCATATGTAGGCTGCTGCGATGTTGATGAACAACGGAACGATGGTGGAGACAGTATGGGCAGAGAGTATACCGTTGTGGGCGACGTCGTCGAACACCGCCCATATTGAATCTAACATCCGGGGACAGGGTCTGGCTCGTACTTCTAAAGCGTGCGCCATATATCCATGGTTACATGTATTCGTCTTTTTCTGGGTATTCATTATTTGACAAAGAAAATGAAGAAAACGAAGCACCACAAGACGATGATAAAATTATTGGAAAGTCTTAAGCTAGTAAAAATTGTAAAAAGTTTGCTTTTAAAAGTAAAGTACGATATACAAAAAGAACATTGATTCTTTTTTTTATTATGCAAAAAAAAAGAAGATGTATTCATGTTATCATAAGCTTTTATATTTTGAAAAACGTTTCTGAAGAAAGAAAATATAAGAAAAAACAATACCATTAAACGGAAAAATATATTTTCAATTGTAGAAAAACGTCACCGCTTTTATTAAAATATATACAAATAAGGCTTTGTTTATTTTTTGTATAAATATCGACATTAGCAATATCAAAGGACATTAATGGAATAAACATCATTAAAACGTCAAACGGCAAAAGGCAACATGCAAAAACAGAACAACGCAATTCACATCATGTACATCCAGTAACGAAGGGATTTGAACATTGAAAAGGAATTGTGAAACAAAAAGACCGAACTGCACAAAAATCAGACATTTAGAAGCATATTTTCAAAATGATTGTGATAACTGTATGAATAAATAAAAGGAACAATATATGTATAAACTACAGATATGGTGATTGTATTATCTATATATTAATTATGTTTTCCTTGAAATGTTTTTGACTTCAACAGTTTGTATTAATTAACTCCTGTTACGTACCTCTTGAATAGTGTCTATAACAGAAAAATATATTATGTTAACATATATTGTTTCTTGAATTTTCACAAGAAAATAAGATCTTAGGAAGGTTTAGTGTCAGAAATAATTGACGACTTGTATCAGCATAAATATTGTTTCTGGCCAGTTTAACAACTATTAGTTTCTATAGTCAGTCTATGATTGTGAATTGGTTTTTGGGCTTTTCAGGTTTTCATTTATATTTTCTTTTGTTTCAATAAATGTTATGTAAATATTTAAGATGTTATTGTTTCTTTGATATTGTTCTGTAATTATATATGTAGATGATGCAATAAATATTAATTAAGAAATTCTGGTGTGTATTAAAATCTGACTTGTTATCTGGGTTTTTTTTCAATCTACTGACTCTATGTCATCTTTTTGGATTTGGCTACACGTGGCACAAGTTGCAAAATCTTTAACTAAATCAAGGGCAAAAACTCTACAATTACTGAATAAATACACAAGCAAACCCCAGGTGCATAACAACACATCCTGACCAACATTCTTGTAATTTTTTAAGGACTAGAGGGCAAATATTATTTGAACTATGCATGAGCAAATTAAAATTGCAAATTTATACGGCGCAAAAGGCTTTAACTCTAACAAAATTGAAAACGAAATTGACACACAAAACCCCAGGTGATTAACATTTATGTAAAGTTGGTTGATTCTAACTCGAGCACAGAAGGTACACATGACATAGCATTTTGGAATGGTTTATACTAAATCAAGGGTATTTACTCTACAAGTATTTAGCAAATCTACAAGCAAACATCCAGGTGCACAACTTCACATGCTGATCATCATTTCTGTAAAGTTTCATGACGTTCGGTCAAATACTTTTTGAGCTACACGCAACACAAGTTGAAAATTGCAAATTTATTTTTACTGAGTCAAGGAAAAAAAAATCCCCAGATGAACAACAAAACCTTCTGACAAACATGTTCGGAACATTTAATGACTCTAGATATCAATTTTGAGCATAGTATATCTTTAAGCATATAGATATACTGTTATGGGTAATTATTTAAACACAAGTAATATTGGAATGTATAGTAAATAATTCTAACACGATCAGCATGTTTCCTTCTGAACACAAAATTTTAATGAAATATGCAATAAAATCAGTGTTGATCTATATTTAGACATGTTACTTAAATATTATTGATTGGCGTCACTAAGTGTTGTTAATCTTTCATATAAATATTGAGGTCAAATAAGGTCGTTTTAATGTTAATTAGTCCATGGTCTTCCTGGTATTGTAAAACCGGTAGAGGTAAAATATAATTCAAAAATAAATTTCAATTCTAAGTTTGATATTACAATTTTTCTCTGGTATACGTGGGGCGATCTAAGAATTTGTCGAATTTTCATATAGTGTCATTATTATTTGTCGCTCTACAATGAAACTTTTAATGAACATCAATTATCCTTCTCTTGCAAGCGTGCATTTGCGAAACTTACATATTTATTTTACACGCATTGGCAGTTCTGGATCATGTCTTCCTTTTTTTAACTGAGTAGCATTTTGTTTGAGTGCATTGTATCTAGCAAATATCTCCGCGTAAACGACAATCAACAAAAATATGTCCAGAAATTAAAAATCATGACAACTGTAGATAATGTATGTCATTATTTATTTATGATGCATGCATTCAATATTTATGACTTAAACAATTTGTATCAATAAACATGAATTTTCAACTTAAATATTGTCTATTTCTACCACAACAAACAAAAAGGTTAGACGTCTTATTATACAATATAATATATTCAACGTATTATTTTCTGGAACCTTTGTAAAAATAAAGGATTTGAAAGATGATTCTTGTTAAAAGCTTTTGACAAAAATCATAAAGGCATATCAAGTATTTAGCTGTATAACAAAACAAGTATTCTTACTTTATAACAGGGATATAAGGAAACAGCCTGCATGAACATTTATTTCATTTAGCTTATATACAATGTTTATAACTACAAACAATTATCATAAGGGGTGATGTTGATATTTTAACAGGAAAAGAAATTCGATTGCTTTTTAAGCGTCCAAATTGTTGAATATTATCATCTTCATCTTTAACGTTGTAATGACTACCAAATCGATATCGGTGTCGATAACATCCATAAGCAGTACCGAAATGTCCCATAGTAGTAGTAGTAGTAGTGTAACATAAAATCTTTCAATTTCTATTTGACGGAGAGATTGAAGGAAGACAAATCTATGTCAAGTTGAAAACACAAAAATTCCGACAAAAGATAATCGTTTATTTGTAGTGGCGTATATTTACTCTCATGTGTAGGGAAGCTACATATATATAAGGATTACATACTATCTTGAAGACAAATTTGTTAGCCGATAAACAAAAAATATTCAGGAGATGTAGATCGTGTGAGGACTGTATATTAAAATAAATTCTAAAAAACACGCCTGTAACAACCACGCTATCCTTCATAGTGTCTTGATAGGCCTTCGGAATGAAGAGAAATGTTATTCTATAATTATATAAGCTTCTTTAAAATGAAATAGACAGGAACGTTTACAGTACAGTTAGGTAGGTATGTACAAACACACAATCTCTTATATTCGAAAAAAAACACACTGTTACATTATTGTTCGATTGTGAGCCGGGCGGCGCTCATGAAAGTAATCTCTAACCACTTCGCAATATTCGTGAATGGCTTTGTCTGAGAAATTAATGACTTAGAATTTGGCGTGAACATTAACAACATATCAATGTCTTTTTCACTGTATTTAGACCACATTGCTTTTATGGAAAATATCAAACAATGTCAGATAGAATTCAAATGGTGTTAAGCAGAATGTATCCAGATCCATACTGATTTTCATGAAAATTTTGAAAATGTTTTTAAGAGTTCAGTATTGTAAAGTGAACAAAGAAAGTACTTTACAAATCCAAACGGCACCTACAATCCATGTAAATTACCAAAAGTGGCCAAAATATGCAAAAAAACGCCCTTACTGAGCTAGTCACGCAGTGAAAATATGATGACAAAAACTGCAACATTAGTAATTTGTCACATAATATAATATGTCAACTATTTCATGCTTCTTGACCCCTTTACTGTTTTTAAAATGTTAGTATACTTTTCACAATTTTGATTTTTTAAAAAATATCTTGCATGCAGCTTTAATACAAACATACAAATCATATTCTGAACCTGATGTGTTCATGAGTCTTAAAGGGATACACAGGCAAAATTTTCATTTCTTCGTTTTGAATTTTTCAGTCATTTATCTGTAAATGGCCTCAAAATGAATACACTAGGCAGTCACAGGAATAAAACTTTTCTCCTTATAAAGAATAAAATGGTGGCTTCCTAACCTGACCCACGCGGGTCAGGTTAGAGCGTTAAGATTTCACAATAATTGTCACAGTGATATCTGGAAACGTTTAAGAACATGACAAATGATTGATTTAGGTTTGTTTCAATAATACTACATCTACAATATATGTTATTGTAACTTCCATGGTTTGTTCAAGTCACATTACTAGTTTTAAAACTACTCGGTGATTCTGTCGGCGTCTAAATTTCTTTCAACATATATAGATATTTTTACGCTTCAAACCTAAAATATATAGAATATTTACAGAAATTCTTGCTGGGACTTTTACAAATGTCATTATAGCGTGATTCGAGTACATAAGATAATTTTGATATTTTTGCCATAAATTTGCCTGAGTATCCCTTTAATCAATTGCAATACTTTACACTAAAATATTTACGTTTTTACATCAGGTGAAATAAGTTCATTAAGGATGATGTTTATTTGTTGATTTTTAATTCAGTTATTCACTAGCAGTCCACTAAATGTGTTAAACCTATATGAGTTTTGAAAAAGCTGGCGGTTAGAACCGGGCGCTGTGGATTTGACCCAAACTTTTGCTCCTTTTTGTAGCCTTACTATTGCACCAAAAGTGTTACAGCCATAAGCATCATCACCAAAGTTGCTATCTGCTGCTATAACGTTATCATCCAACACCAAGCCAAGATAGGAATGTTTTCCTTTATAAGCACATGTATGAACAACAAACTGGTACAGTCCTCCAACAGGTGCTGTGAACAATCCCGTAGACGTGTCGTAACCTGTTTCCTCGTTAGTGAATGTCTTCTCGAATATGAGAATCTCATTCGTAGTATCAAGAAGCATGTCTTTCAAGTGATGTGCGTAGAATGCGACTGGAGGTTGTTCGAGTTTTCCTGAGAATAGAAATAATATTTTTGCATTTTATATCTAAAATATCTAACTCAAAGGGCCTATGCAAGCATTAAAACCTTGTATTTATATTCGGCCAATATCTGTAGAGTTTTAATAATTCAAACAATTAAAAACTTGAATGTCTGAATGTAAACAAAATCATCTGGACGTCTTATAAGAGTTAGAAATGTACATATGGAGCAACATTGTTTGTTATATATTATTGACCACGTGATATACCAAGATAAAACATGAGTCAAGTTTGCAACAATTTAATTTGCTATGATCCGTTGTAGATAAATAGTAATCAAACACAATTGATATACAATTGGTACCAATACCTTGGAGCTGAATAAGTTTCTCTTTTTCAGCCTCGTTGCCTAAACTCGTTAGGTTTGTTATTGTTTCCTCAAATAATGTTTTGAACGATTCTGAAATAAAGTATGAAAATTCTTTTAACTCATATCTAACCAAAGTTCAAGGGTATTAAGTTCGTAAGTTTTCTACTAAGCATCCTATCTCTATAGTTGCTATTATTTCGGTCTCCCTTGGAAATAAGAAAAGTAAAGCATGTATCATTTATTATCTTAATGTCATTCATTACATGCACTGGTTATTGTTTAAAAACAATTAATGGAAATTTTAGGCGTATGTGTGATTTTTTTTTGTAGACACTCGTACATTCAATGTCATTTTTGCAACATTAATAGTTTTATAAATTGTATATAGTTTACAGAAAGTTAAAAATTGCAGAAATATATTGTTTGTACTTTTTTGTCTCGCTTTGACTCAAATTTACTATTCCAAATAGTTATTAAGATATACAATGAATTTTCATCTATATTACCAACAATTACAAATTTATACATTATTAGAAACATGCACAAAGTAAAAAGTTTATTTCTTATTTTATTTAAACTATTTCGGTTATTTGCAACATGTTTATACATGTCATGAAATGGTGCCATTTCGAAGATAGTTCTTTAGTACATTGATTTTAGTACATCATTACGAGAAGTAACAACACCAATTGAACTGTGCAATATAATTGGCTGGGTAGAATAGTAAAATAACATCTTATTTACACAATTATAAATCAATGTAATGAATTAAGCTCAGCCAAAAAACGTTAAATACAATATTTAAAAGAGGGGGGTGTATACAAAAGCTGTAATTCAGTGTATAAAGCACGAGAATTTTCCAAGAAATAAATCTCATAAGTTTGGAGCTGTTACGCTAGGGAGAGTTACTCAATTAACGTTATATATCTAAAATTCATCGTTTAGCTCCCTTGACTGAGACACCACAAAAATACAAAAGTTTGTATATAAAGTATCTTAAACTTAGCATTTAGGAGTTTAAATTTGACCTAAGAAATGTATATTTGATTTGATATATTTTTCTATTATACCTTCTCTCCCTTTGATCTCTTCTTCTCTCTTTAACATCTCGTCCGTTATGTTCCCTCTCATATCGGCAAACATGTCCGTAAAATCAGCAACTGTTTGTTTAATGTCACCTAATGTACTGATGATATTATCCTCAGTTTTCTTAATTTCATTCACCATTGTTTCTACCTTAATTTCAGTCCTAATCATTTTCTCTAAAAGCTGTTCTTCATATGCAAATTTAGAACATACAGGCTCTCTAGCCTCAGAAAAATTATAACTATATATTCCAACGACAATAACAAACACAAATAACAGTGAAAACCTCATTTTGATAAAGACAATTTCAACAGAGAAGCTTTCTGGATTAAACCCTTTAGCGAAACTGTTTTATTTATTTATAAAAAAAAAACATGTATGTATGAATATGAGGCCCGTATATGAATATTTTAGCACAACTGCATGGATATTAAAACTGGAGAATCAGTTATGGGTATCATAGTTCATTTGATATTTTATGTCACAATAACTTTTCGGAAAATAAAATCTCAAAACTCGGGTCATGTTTGCACATACGCAATTAACGAAAACAGCCATAATATATAAGTATAGGCAAAATTAAATATTTATTATTAAAGCGGCCTTCGTCTTTCAGTTTTTGTGAGAAAAAAGAGTTCATTTCAAACTGTACAATACAATTTTGAAGAATTACTGCAAGCTTCTTTAAAGTTTTTGTAACTAGCGAAGCGTAAGAGTATGTGATAAATTGAGACATAGCTAATTTGTTCATCTAAGAACATTATAAGTGTATTATTTTATTGTTACAATTTACTTTAAATGATTCAAATAATCTATATTGGTTTCTTATGGAGTGTAAGTTATGTCCGTGTATGAACATCACAATACGAGACCTTTTTTCATTTGTCTTCTATTGGAACACCTCTATTTATATATAGTATGCAGGCTGAATTTACTGCAGGCATATGTTGTTATTTTGCTCGTTTTCATGAGTTTCAAGAACAGTCATTATCATGGTCATTTATAAACTGATTTATTTACACCTCAATTATTATTAAATAGGTTACTGGTTTACTCTTTGTATAAAAGTTCAAACCGGCCCCAAGGAATGACTGACAAATGAACTTTAAAAAACATTTTGCAATAAAATATTACTAGCTTTATTTCAAACCCCTCCTCCAGGACCTTTTAAAACCTGTATGTCTCAGATTTAAATGTTATCTATCCTAATTATCATTTTATTAGTTCGTCATGATTATTGGGCCTAGATCTTCAAGCTATGTCTTTATCTTAACCGCTTTGTTAAGAAATTTGCCATGGTTTCATGGGAAATTCTGTTTAAACATATGGGTTTCAATTATTTAATCGTTGTACATAATTCAAGCGTAAATTGTTTTTAGGAAGTGAGGATATAGCCATTTCACAGAATTCCGTACGTTAATTTCACATTGTGATGTGCGAATGGATAACTACGTAATTATTTTTTTACATTAATAGAAAAGTCAAACGTTTGTATGCCGCCGAATAATTTGCATTACAATATAAGTCAAATACATTTTATTCTATTTCTTAACAAGTGTATGATTTTTTTTCTTTTGCCTATAAATTGGCAAATTACTTAAAGACACATTATGCTTTTGAAACGAAGAAATTTTTACCCCGTTAGAAACGGAACACCTGAATTCGATGGGGTTCGAATAATGATTTCAGAGATTGTAAGATGTTTGTGACCAAAAAGGAATGAGAGCTGAATGAGAACTTATTTGTCACAAAATAGCAAAATGTACATAAAATAGCATTTTGACTTCCATACAGAATACTATATGTATAAAAATTGCCAGAAAGCAACAGAAGTGCAACGATTTTTGTGAGCTGATTCCTCTATTATCTCGGGATACTTAAATATTACATAATAAAGAATTTCCTGCAGGCTACCTGCCAATGATTCTATAAATTATTGGTGATGTTTAGGAAATAGATATAAATTTTGAGCGCATAGTTGCTGAATAATGCACAATTCGAGTTAAATGCTCAGGAATATAATTTCAAAGGTTAACAGGCGAGTGTTTAATTAAAAAAGATTTTGACGATCAACCATGCATTATTATACCTTAATGCAGGAAAAATACTATCTTATTATATCTTAACATGCTTAAATATAAGAGAATTTATTACAAATAATTTTGTACTACATTTAGCGTAGAAGTAATTTTCGTGGTTTCATTTGGTTTTGGATGTCATATATGACGTCATAAGACGGGTAAGCATTCATTTTCGATCCTGTGCATGCATTGTGTAATAATGCACTTGATCCTATCTGCTTGATAGGGGAATTGATTGAAGAGGGTTAGAATAAATTATCAAGCATTAATTAAAATAAAAATCAAGGAGAAACTACAATCAAAATAGATGTACTGATGGTCTGATTATGAGCAACTGCTTTTTATACACCCCAATTAGAAAGTTAGATGGTTTTTATATTCACTTAAAACAGACTGCAGAGATTGTGATAACTATTGTAAAATTGGAATTAATACGGTTCTCTTACCGTTACAGTTTCGAAAATAACGCAACAGGTTGACTAATGTATTGTGACGGATAGTGCACCATGAAACTATAACGGTAAGTTTGGTACAGGTCTACGGAATACCTGGGAAAAAGTCACATGTACCGAGTTCCGGAGAACATCTATTGTTCCAGTGACTTTAAACAAATCGTCGATAACATTGAATTAAAAGAAGTTTTTGACGATTATACTGTCGGCGGCACGTGATATAATTACTTACTTCTACTCTGAGAAATAGTCAAGTGAAATCAAAACTGTTGCAGAATTGAGAACTAATCGACCCCTTAAATCAAACAATGATTATGAAATCTACATAAATATGAATCTTACAGAATATGAACGTTTATTATATAGCCAGTTTAGAAGCGGTATATTGGCACTTTCAATAGAAACTGGCCGCTAAATACCGGTAGGAGAAATGGTTGAATAGAGGCTATAATGATTTTGTCCCCCAAAAAACGACAAAGACGAAAAACATTTCGTCTTACAGTGCACCATATAGATCAAGTATATTTTTGAACATAGTTTTCTCTCTCAAGACTCTGTTTACCTTGCAGACGATTATAAAAACATTTAATTTGTTAACTTCCTAGAATATTGCTCTAATTTGTTGTAATTGCTTATCTCCACAGACGTTCTTTTATGTTCCGCATTTGAAGCAAATACTATTCACTTATGAAAGCCGAACTAAATTTTATACGATAAGATTAGAATGTAATGTAATCCAGATGATTTATTTATGTCTTGACTGTAAATTGCCATATGCACTATTACAATTACTGTGAGAGTTCTATTAACTATTGAAGATACCGTTATCGTTATTTACTCAAGCATATCAAAATACGTGTACTCCTTTGTAATATTAGACAGAAATAACACCTATCCTTCATTCAATTTATTCCATTTAATTTTTGTTATTAGCAAAGTGTAGTATTACACATGAAATGTGTGTAATAATTAGCGGAATCATTTTACATGAACAACTAGAATCTTTAAAATGAAGACCCTTTTTCTTTCTTTCCCTTTTTTCGTGTCTTAAAGATTTTGATATTAATGATTCGGGGACAGCTCAAATGCGATAATATACCACAAAAGAATTGCGAAACATACCCCTTAAACTATAATCAAGAATCATAAATCTAATTTACTAATCGCTCTTCTTAAGTTTAATATATAAAAATGACTTAAATGGTATTTGAAAACAATCTATAATATATATGTAAATACATAATGACGGCATTATATAATGATTTCTGCTGACTCATAGGCCCATAGGACCGGGTGTTATGTTTCTTTTTTCTTGTAGATATGTATAATTACAGATATGCATATGTCACGAAGATAAGATATTTACTTACTTATTTACTTACTAATAAATATACAAATTATGTTATAAATAAATGTATTATTACATAAATATATAGGGGGTATTGAAAGAGTGTAGGTTCAATACTAAATTGACAAGTTAAAGCGAGCCTCTGTCGAGTATAAAATCATTATTTCAAATAGTTAAAAATATTTAGTAATGAAGCTACACGATTTTATATTTCTTTTAAAACACACAGAAAAAAGACAAGTTCTTTCATTTATACTATTGAGGTATATAGCTGACATTTGGCGCGTCTTTACTATGTCTGTATAAAGTAAAGTTAAAAATCAGTAAACTAATTTTAACGTATTTCATTTATCATGAAGAAATGAAGTCAATTATTGTTATTGATCATACATTATTAAAGGGAAGTAATGCACAAATATTTGTTATGTAAAGTTACATAAGTTATTCCCCTTCATTTGTTTCAATCACTTTTCATTAAAATTTTAGATTTCTTTTTGTGGATTGTATTGATAGGCATTACCGAATTTCTTAAGTATGAAAGATGTATTGAAGCTAAATAACATAAAGTATGATAAAGATAGACAAATTCTTTGGTATTATACGAGATGTATTTGAATGCTTTTTAAGTATTTTTCTGTCTCATTAAACATTCTCACATTTCATAAACAAAGATATTTTAGTTTTATATCATGATATGTTCATGTCTGTAAAATCCATACAATATATGATCATGTAAATATATGTATCATGTTACATAGCCACTGTATCAGCCTCTTAAATACCAAGTAGTGTACAAGAAAAGCATTGATGCAAAGCATCAAAGGGCGACGCCAAAAGAATTTGATCCAGGTTTGCACCTAAATACTTAACAAAAGATGTGTACTTTATAGCAGTACCATTTCATGTGACCTGGAGGCTTGGCCCAGTTTATGTTGAAACTTAAACCAAAAAGAATAGACTCTGTCTTGCCAAGATGCAAAGACAATTTATAGTCAATAAACCAATCTTAAGATTTACTTTACCAGATACAAGGATACCTGAGTCATCATCATATAATGACAGGCACAAGTATCACACCTGGGAAGAAAAAATATACCCAGATTAATAAAAAACCTGTGTTCATCTTAAAAGTGTCAAAAACCAAAAAAAAAATGTAAATAATGACCCCCTTTAAAAATATACTATTAACTTTAAGTGTATTTTTAAAGGGGGTCATCATTTACATTTTTTTTTTTGGTTTGTGACACTTAAGATGAACACAGGTTTTTTTATCAATCTGGTAATATTTTTTCTTCCCAGGTCTGATACTTGTGCCTGTGCATATAATAAAAGCTTATTGCTTAGTGTTGCAGACATGTCATTGACATATATTAGACATAAAAGAGGACCTAAAATGAACATCAGAGGGACACCATAGGTATTCAGAGAGAAGGAGTACCAGCCACATTCACCAGCTGCTATCAGAGATAAGACTTGAACCATGCAAGAATGTCATTACATATGGCAGATGCTTGAAGTTCCATGAAGAAGAAGAAAAAAGAACTTCTTCATGTGCAGTATAGTGTGATCAACTGTACCAAATGCTTTTTGTAGATTTAAAAGTATCACGCAATACTGCCTTTGTCCATTTCAAATTAAATGCAATCTATTAAATGAATCAAACATGTGTCAGTTGAAAAACCACTTCTAAACCCTGACTGAAACTGCCTGACCATGACTCGAACCCATGACTTTCAGAAGACCAACTGAGCTATCCCGGCCGGCTACACATTTTCTCTTTAATAATGAAACAGTTCTAAACCTAAACCTTTTTCCCCACTATATTGATTCATGTACTTGAATTTCTGATGTTTACAGAGCATAGTAAATTAAACTAATGGTTATTTGCAGTAACAGGATGAGAAAAACTTTCAGCTTGACCAGAACTCAAACCTGTGACCCACAGAATAATGTACCGCGGCTGTAGCGATTGAGCTATCTGGCCGCTTACACATTTTCTCCCCTAAATAGTGAACAGTTCTAAACCGTGACAGATATTTAGATTTTTAAATTAACAGATAATTAATTCTTAATTAATAAATAAGAAAAAAAAACCTTACATACTCATAGTCTTAATTAAAATAACAATTTATATAATTATTATTGTATAATTATTTTTACTAAAAAGGGCTAAGACAGTTATTGGTTATGCCATTATTTATAACAGGTCAATTTGAAAGTGAATATAACTGTGCTAATACATGTACAATATCTATGATAAGAAATTTTATGAAGGCTGATTTGTATTTTACATCAAGGGCACCGGGCGAAAACATGAAAATGCAACAAACGAACCACTTTGTGGTAGATTGTATTTTCATGTTTTCATCTGGCGCCCGGTTACTTTTTGTACTTTGTTGGTTTTCATGTGGCACAAATCACCCACTATAAAATTTAGTGTACAAATTTATTCAAGGACAAGTAACAATCTACTCTATGAAAAGTATGTTGTCGGGTTGACTCTGGAGACCTGGAGGTTGAGACCGGTTACAAATACCATTACAAATAGATAAGACAGAAGCTGTCCTTTTCAAACTATGCACATGTTAGAAAAAAATTAGAATAACTATTCAGAACATGATTTTTTGAGGCTTTATCAATTATATTGCTTGATCCAAGTTTCAGGACATTTTCAATCAATACATGTATTATCATTTATAACTTTAAATGAAAGTCTCATCCCTTTAATAATAATGACATAACTGCAACTCTTTAAATTCAGAAATATTATAAGTCTCATCATACCAATATACTAAGATATAAATGTATGCACATAACATTAATAATTCCAAGTTTCTATTAAATAAATATGAAATATTGGGTATATAAAGCCAGTAAAAGTATATATATATCAATATTCACTCATCAGGGCCTCTATGCTTTTGATGACCTTACAACTGGTAAATTTTATAAAACAAAAATTGTAAGTAATACCTAAAATAGACAGAAAAGAACAAATAATTTAGTAAACATGAGTTACTTCCCCATGAAATAAAGAAAATATGAAACCCTAAAGAACACCCTAAACATCAAAATTAAGAAATGTTGCAGGCTCATTTTAATTATGCCATGCAAATAAATGGTAAAGTATTCATAAAAAAGTAGATGGCCATGTGACAGCAGTAATTGCAGAAAATCGGATAGTTGTCAACATCCGGATACTGGTACACTTTGTAAAAACAACCATTCTGTTCAACAGATAAACGTAATATGAATAAAATCAATAGGATAATCGTTTACAACAGTCCATTACCTATCCTAATACTCATTTGCAGGTGAACTTTCTTCTTGTAGGAAAGTTTTGAAAATATATAAATGAATGAGCATCAATGTAGACCACAACGATATTTGAAATCCGGGTTTTAGTATTGTCAATAAAACAAAGGGACAAGCTGTTAATCAGAGCCTGCAATTTCGTGAAAATAATATCACAATGCACATGCTTTTTATATAAAGTTATTAAATACAAATATAACAACATTTTTGTTTACTTGATTTTTACGAATCAAAATAAATATAATTAACACAACATGAAATTAACTGCTAATAATAACAGCTTCTTCCATAGGCAAAAATAAAAAGCATTCCATAAAAGACGACGCCGCTCACCGGCGTCGCCAACAATAGTCGCTCGTGGTGAATAAACGTACACTGTGTTGTTTTCTGGGTTCTCGGTCCCCAGGGACATGTAACCGATATAACAATGTCATGTGTCATTTATGTATTATATGATGTCTTTGTCTATGTATATATTTATGTAATATGAGCTTGTTATTCCTAAACCAAATAATTAAATTTCTGTTTTGTTCTATTATGTGTTGTATAACGCAAACGACCACAGTACAGCCGTGAAAAAACATTTTCAATGAGTCACAAAAGCGCCCATGGTATGTGATTATTATTTTTTAAATGAACAAAAATATAAATTTCCAAACTATTCGTAAAAAATGCATGTTCTTCATTACATCATTATAAATTTGAGACATATTTTTTAACTGTAAAATTTGCTAATTACATTTAGGTTTTTAACACTTGTCTGTCATTGCAAAAACATTCAGACACACATGCATCTCATTGTTTCCTCCCAAAGTTATTTAAACATGGGATAATATGTATCCAGCTAAAATATACCATAACAAACTAATGCAGTAAATTATCAGTTGGTGAACAGAGTTTCAAAGTAAGGAATAAGATACAAATATTGATGTTTTTTGATATTCATCTTATAATAGCGCGTGATATTCATCAGATGATATTGATAATAAAAAACATACAAGAAGAACAAATGTATACATGTCATGTTTATTTGAAAACGCGACAATATAGTTGTTTAAGTTTACTGATAAACATAGCAAAATCTTTTTGAAGACTGGTAATCAAAATATTCGTCACATACGATCATCATTGTATGAATATTTGTAAAATATCAGATAAATAATGCCAGAAACAAAGTTGAATGAATTATTCATTCAATTATTGACAAGTATTCCACTAAATGTGTTCATTCTATATGAGTCTTGTTCTAGCCGGCGGTTATGAGCTGACCATGTTGATTTGACCCAAACTTTTTCTGCCGGTTTTACTCTTACTATTGCCCCAACAGTACTACATGTGTAATGATCCTCATCATAGTTTGAACTTGTTGCAATAACGTTATCTTCCAACACCAGACCAATAAAGGCATATTTTGTATAATAAGTACATGTATGAACAATAAACTGGTACAGTCCTCCAACGGGCGCTGTAAAAATCCCAGTGGAAGTGTCATAACCTGTTCCCTCGTTAATCACACTTTTCGTAAATATAACAATCTCATCTTTTTTATCAAGAACCAAATCTGTCACGTGATGTGCATGGAAAGCGATCGGAGGTCGTTCAAGTTTTCCTGAGTACAGAAAAAAGTAAGTAAGTACATGTTTCTTACAATTGTTTCGTTATGATTTGTTTTGTGTTTGTATATCTGGTCATGAAGAATTTTAATGCGTATCAATCGCCGATGGTTAAATATAAAGAATAGCCAGACTTCCTGATTTTAATTTAGAATTCAATTTGTAATATAAGCGTTTGGGAAATATCTTATGAATATCTGTGTAAAACATGATATTTTTAGAGCTATAATAGAAACTATGTTTGTAAAATAAAGATGATGACATGTATTCAAAATTAGTATATATACACGTAATTAAATAAGTTTAAAGATTATTGAAGGGTCAGTTTATATTTACAGCAACAGGTTAGTTGAACAAGTTCTTAATATTTTAAACTGATTATTGATGTATTATAGTACGTGAATGCATTTAAAAAAAAAACAATTGAATATCATATAATGAAATAAGATACACAGTTTTGGAAAATAATCCTCTTGAGGATGTAAAATGAGGAAAAATACCTTGAAGTTCAGTAAGTTCTTCTCTTTTAGCTTCCATATCACTCGTGAGGTTGGTTCTTGTCTCATCAAATAAGTTCTTGAAGGATCCTGTAAAAAATAATATCAAAGTTCAATAAGTATTATATGTGTTATTTTGTGTACATGTGAACTGTTTGCAGAAAGTTTTGCTGATAATACGAAACTAAAATCGAAATATATTTTTACATAGACATTTGTGTTACTTTTGAAATGAAACTTTAAGGAAGCAAAACAACATGCATTCTAACAGTTTTTTTTCCTTGCTCTCCTTCTAAAATCAAATTTCATGTTTTGTCTTGAATTTCTATTGGCTAAAGTGTTAGCCATTTTCTGACGTAGAATATAATATAAGGGGAATAAGATATTTATATTAAGAGATTATATATTATATAAAATAAAGATGAGGAAATGTATTCAAAATAAGAAATGTAATTGAATCTGTTGAACGATGATAAGAAGGACTAGTCTATAGTTACAGCAACAGGTTGGTCGAATATAAAAGAAATATTCAAACTGATAATTGATAAAATATTGTACGTGAATGAACTTCAAAAGATCCAACTAAATAATAAAACCAACGGAATCATAAAATCAAAACCAGGTTTTGGAAAATAATCATCACATGGAAGAAAAATGCGAAATAATACCTTTTAGTTGAGTAAGTTCTTCTCTTTCAGCTTCCATGTCACTCGTGAGGTTTGTTCTTGTCTCCTCAAATAATTTCTTGAAGGATTCTGTAAAAATAATATCAAAGTACAATTACTAACGGTTATCAAAGTTCAATAAGTATTATATGTGTTATTTTGTGTACATATGAACTGTATGCAGAAAGTGCTGCTGATAATACGATTCGAAACTTGATTAAAAATATAATTTACATAGACACTAGTGTTACTTTTGAAATAAAACTTTAAGGAAGCAAAACAACCTGCATTCTAATATATATTCTAATTTTCTTCGCTCATCTTCTATAATCAAATTTCAATTATTTTTTTCGAGTTTCTATTGGCTGAAGTGTTCTATAGGCCATTTCCTGACGTATTTCAATATAAGATTAATGTATTCAAAAGTCAGGGAATATGTTCACTAATAAGAAAAGCCAATATGACGAGTTAACGTTGTTCTTCACGGAAACATGATAATCTTAACATAAATATCTACTGCGATTCTTGTTTTTTATAGATCAGGAGTATACAAAAAAGCAGAAATATCTCAAATTTTGACATACTGCAGTGTTCTATGACGCACCAAATAGAAAGAGCACGAGATCAACACAGGACAGAATAGAAAAGAAGAGTAACAATTAACCAATGTCCTTTTATTAATTTTATACATGTTCATGCTCGTGTTAGTAAAATGTTGAGCACGAGGCTGTTAATCATCAATCAATTTTATAAAAATTTAAAAGTGAAATATTACTTATTTTATTGTTGTTATTTTCATTTAAGGTTTTCTCATTCACTTTCCCTTAATTCATTTATTGATTTATGTTTATAATAATGTTACAATGCGTTTTGTAACGATGAACATATTATAAGTTTGCAGCAATAAAAGTTATGCCATATTCTACCGTTCATAAATACAGACATTTATGGTAAATATGTCAGCTTTGTGACCAGTGTATGAAATGTCTTCTTTTTTCAAAAAACTCACTGATTCTTTAAATTTTGAATATTCCACGCATTTATGATATAACAGATTTCATCATTTCAGTTTTCATAAATCAATACAAACTATTAAGTTAAACTGATTCAGACTTAAACAACAACCAGTTATAAATTATATGCTTAAGAAATAAGTCATTTTTCGCAATACACCAGTAATATTTCGGTATATCTGTATCATTTTCTAACAATGTAGATGTGATTTATTACCTTCCCTCCTTTTGATCTCATCGCTTCGCTTTAACAGTTCGTCCGATATGTTTCCCTTCATATCCGCAAACATGTCCGTAAAATCTGAAACTGCTCGTTTAATGTAGCCTAACGTACTGATGACATTATCCTCAGTTTTCTTAACTTCATTCACCATTGTTTCTACCTTAATTTCAGTTCTTATCATTTTCTCTAAAAGCTGTTCTTCATATGCAAATTTCGAACATATAGGCTCTCTAGCCTCACACATGATATAACTATATATTCCAACAACAATTACAAGCATAAATGATAATGAGAACCTCATTTTGATGAGAACAATTGCAACAAACTCTGAGAAGCTTTCAGGATTGAACCATGTGAGAGAAACTGCTGTATTTATTCAAAGAAAATATGTCAGTTTGAAAATGAGGCCCGTATATCAAAAGGCATTCTGAAGAGGAACAGAATTTCACTACTCGAGTCATACAGTACACGGAATTTTATGCATTAAAAGAAGAAAACAGGCATAATGAAATATCTTTATTGAGTGGGCGTAATTTGCTTAAAACAATACTGAGTTGATATTGCGATCTTTTTTTGGTCTATATTACAACCGTTCATGCTTTGACTATAATAGACCATTTCTCTTATTTCATTTATTGTACATGATACAATAAGTATGACATGCGACCATTGTTACACACCAGTAGCTACTAAAAACTTGTGGTTGAGTCTTTACGCCCATTTACTGAAGTATCTGATTTGTTCCCGTTGTTGTTCGTATAAATTTCTTGACAAAATATATAGCTATCATTAAACGATCTTTTTCATCTGTTTAGCAACCCTGCCAGACATGACCTTAGCCGCGCATTTATGACATGAAAATAACATACTCGGCTTGTTCATATTATGTTTATCCAACCAGTTTGGTCAATCAATTATTATTGCTCCAGCCCTGTTTATTTTACCAAACATCAAGCATCAATTATATTTTTGATAAAACAATTTTATTTTAAAGCCTTTCACGTTTGATTTATTTGAACCTATCGGTACTTTACAATTTTGAACAATTAATATTGCTAGATTCTTAAAGGTTTTGTAGCCATATAGAAATTAAATACCTTTTTGAAAAATCTTTGCATTATTGAAAATTACTTAGTCCGGGCCTTATGTTTAAAAGAAACAGTGAACATATGTCTGTAAAATGTTACCTACGCTAATAATCAGTATTTGTTAGTTCAGTAAGATAATAAGGCTTATATTTTCAAGTTAATATCTGCATCTTAAACGCGATAATAAATAATTATGAATGATTAATTGGTGTTAAGTTGCGTTAAAAGATTTGACGACCAGATAAATCTAAGCATTTAACAGATGGCAAGATTATTAGATTTCAATATTTAATCATTGTATAGAATTTTAGCGTTAAGATTATGAACAGCTGTGAAAATAGCCAGTTCAAAGAATTTCGAGCATTAATTTCGTTATATGCGAACTTCTATACGTAGTCGGATAAGTACGTTCATATTTATTTAACCTTTTATTTTCGGTTTAAAGTTTTGTATATTATGTGTATAAATAAAAGAGTAATACGTTTGAGCGCATCAAAATATGAGTCATTTACAATTTTTCTGTTTTTGCTACACGTGCGTGTTTTTGTTTCTTTTGCATTAAATGTCGTTACCAAGGCAACATGCCGGAAACATTATAACGTTCAACTAGGATACACAAGTTCAAATTTGCCCTACTTGGTCGAATTACTGTGCATTTGCATTTAAACGTCTAATTTATCATGTGTTTAGTGTCAAGCATAAATACATTATGGACATTTGATAAACTTGTTTGACAGCATTGTTCAAGCACTTGTGTGTCACCATGTGAACATTTTCTGCTACAGGGTGGGAAATCGCATTTCGCGACCGGAAAACGTTGTTTCGGAAAGAAATGATTTATTTGAATCATAGCTTGAAGCTACAGGTTTAATTGTTCATTAACACTGTCGTGTCCTTACTAAAAATCTAAAAATACATAGTAGTCTTTTGTGTAAGATATGCTATTTCCGTAAAATGAAGACGTATTCGCAATCTCAAATCAAACGATGTAATAATATGTAGTCATAATGGACTGTATTAACAAAAGCTTTAATATGTTGTAACTAAAATAAATTGTAAAATGCTTTTAAGGAGAATGTTTTATTTAAGCTGTAAGATTTCTTCTAAATCCTGGATGCAATTTATGTATTGTAATTTTGTTTGTAAATGTTGAAAAAGAAATATGTTTCAGCTAAATCAAAAGACCGCTTGTTACACTAACACGCTATGAAATACGTTAACCGATTAAAAAGAGGGAAATTTTACTTAATGCTTTAAAATACACCCGTCGCTACAGATCAGAGCGGTGTTTAATAAAACATATTTTATATCAGAACATATTGTGCTCATTTAGAGGATCATAACCCTAACATTTCCGGATTAAGTTTTTTAAAAAGAACATCATTGTTATATGTATCAAAAATGTTTTATTTCAGGTCACCTTAGATTTTAACTATTCATTAATGTCCATGTTTTACTGGAATTAATTGTGCAGAATTGTATTCCAACGAGCTAGCCACATTAATACAATCCAAAAGAGTGGTAAAATACATAAAATAGTACACTGATGGAGTTATCTTTTGAATATATAAGTTTGTTGGTAAATGCGTTCATTGAATGCCACCCTTCCTTGTTTATCTGGTAAATGAAACCTTATCGTCATTCGTAACGTTGGGATTTTAGCAATACAAAGTACTGAATTCTTAAAAAATTGATACAAACGTGTTCGAAAGCTATTAAAGATAAAAATGAAGATATTTGCTAAAAGGTTCGATCGATCGTTTATACAATAATAACGAAAAATATAAATTACAAACTTTCATTTATTAACACAATTTTTATAATATTTTATATATTTACATGATTGTTATCCCCTCAAACACATTGCTTGTCTCCTTTGATTAATAAATTTATTTATTTATTGAAATAAACTTAAACATGCAATGCCAAATATTATTAAAAAAATCATCTACGTTAGCCGTTTTCCTGGACATATCACAACGATGTAAGCACATGGCGTAATTTGACATTTTTTTGTTTGTAACAATAATTGAACAAAATAAACTAAATAAAAATCAAGTAACAATAAACAATATTTTTAGAATAATATTCGTCATTGTATTCTAAACAATATAACTCAATTTTATCTGAAAATGAATTTCGTGTAACATTTGATAAATTCGTTTATTATCTCACATATACTCGCAGGCTATCAATGTTTAAGTAATACGCTCACTTGTTTGAAAAGCAAATGTGGGCATCAACAAATGATTGTTCAGTAAAGTTTGGAAATATGTATTTATTATAAATTATGTCATTGTGATAGTAGACAATTAAACAAAATAAAGCTGCGAAGACAACTGTCGAAAACAAACATTTTATCACAGTCTATGTCGATGTATCACATACCGTGAAATTTGATATATCGTAATGTTTATATCCTAGGGTAAAAATTATTATAAATACAATACAATTAATTATTTGTAAAATAATGACCCGACATGTATTCCGGTTTTTTTTATTGTAAACTATCTTTGGATTTATTCAATATAAATTCAGATTTTATTTATTCTTTAACATATCAATTGATGAAGTGAATAACTACCCCCCCCCCCCCACCAAAAAAAAAAGTAATCAATTATCTCCAAACCCACATGCTCTACAGCTCACAACCGTAAGGAAGATGAGACATAAAAGTAAAATCTTAGATATCACGTTTTTATTTGTTTGGGTCGTCAGACCAAACAAATAATGGTAGCGAAATTTCAGAGCCTAATGCTGTTAATTGCAGATGCCTAAAGTAGTCCACTTTTTTGAAGCGGTTACTTCCCTTTATATGTACACTCACGCCGAAAACTTCAGGGGAGATCAATGCGTAAAGATTGTCAAATGGCAGGCGCATTAATTTTCAAGCAAAGTAGTTCCCGAATGGTCGAAGATTTCTAATATTGTTTCATTCTTTATAGATATACATGCTTACAGTAAGCTCCATGATTATTTACACCTGTGTTAAACAACAGGTTTAGCGTCAAAATAATAAGAGTTACAAACCCTAATTTAGAATAATATGGTTTTCTTCAGGCCAATAACACATAATTTCACCGTGGCCGAGGGTTTTGCACGCTCGCTTATGAATCGAGAGGTCTGGAGTTCAAATCCCAGTTGAGGCAACTCATTTTTTTATTTTTTTTTTAGTCAAATAAACATTTAATTGACTTTCAGTGTTGCAATTAGTTTTATAGCCAATTTACTACAGTTAAAACACTGGAAAGCATTGGTGGCACTATACAAAAACAAATTGGTTTAAAATCTCACAACCTTTACCTTTCTGACATTCTGAGACCCAAACAAATTCAGCTCCTTCTGTGCTTTGATTCGGTTAATGAGATATATGAGATATATTTATCGAAAAACGTTCCTTTTTCTGCAATTTTAAATGGCCATTGCTTTCAAAGTTGAAAGCAAACACCGTTCTATCTGGCATTATAAAGCATGTAAAGATCACTACACTGTTGTTGTTGTTTTTGTTTGTTTGTTTTTTTGTTTGTTTTTGTTTGTTTGTTTGTTTTCTTTGTTTATTTTCTTTTGTATAAAAGTGTTTTATGAAACAATATCTTAAGAATCAATTGTAAATCAAACAAACAATACATGTGACTGATTTATTTATTTATTTCATGATGGCTGTATTTTTTGTCTATTTCATTGTGTCTGCATTTATCTTTTTCTTGTTTTCTGCATTTTGTATTTCTTATCTATTGCATGGTGTCTGTATCTGCTTATTTCATGACGTCTGCATTTATCTAATAGTATATCAAGTTGTCTGTATTTATTTGTTTATTTTACTGAGAGTTGTATGGATGATAACAAGATTCAAACTATTCTACTATTTATTATAGCTATTTAATACATGTTGTTAAAACCAGAGCTCAAGTGAGAATGACTGGGTATCAGAGAGGCATGATCATATATATAACATAGCATTAATGAATATCAAGTAAAGGGGGTAGTAATCCCATTAACTGTTCAACTTAACATGTAAAGATTTATCTGATATTGATATCATAACACTGAGTCTGTATTTTATAATAAAGTATATGTATAGCATGGTGTCTTCATTTATGACAGTTGTTTAAAAGAATATATTTTTGCTTTTATAATAAAACATACTTGCTTTGATTGCCGAACAGACAAATTATCTTTTCAAGAATGATAACCAATTATCTCACTTTTTTGTAGAAACGTTTACATACAACAATATAAACTAAGACATGCCTTCTATAACTTATAC